GTCTAAATCGAGATAGTCATAAAATGGGACGCGCTGCTCTATGTAAATAGAATAGACCTACTTAAAATATCTATGTAAGTCGGTGCGAGGTGTCACAATAGCAATAGTAAAGTTTTTGATCTTGTTTAAAAGTGCACTTATGTACATATATTGAGCGTAACTATACATACACTCATACTTGTTTCATGTTTACATAGATCAGGGCTGTCCAAACTAAATACGATGTAGGTATAAAAATAACTAAATCTATTGAGGGGCCGCAAAATATTTATAAAAACAAATGCAGTAATAATATCATTATTTTATTACATTTTATTTAAATAATCTTTTCCAATTCTGTCAATATTGGTAGTAGCTAGATGCAGTGTATGCTTAAAATAAGCAATTGCAAAAAAAATAAGTAGGTACATCAAATCATTTGGGATTACAAAAAAATTAAATTAAAATTTTCTGAAAGAACAATTTTGTTATATAAAAATGAAGAAAAAAAATATTTAGCGGACCGCATCAATAAAAATCGCGGGCCGCATGTGGCCAGCGGGCCATGCTTTTGAAAGCTCTGACATAGATGTCTTCGCAGTGTTAATTTATTAGTCATGATTAATCCAATTTTATTATTTGACCATACATGTATATTTATCTCTGTGGTTTTAGCTGAGTAGAAACGATTGCGTTTATGACGCCTGTGTCATATACGCCTATAAATAATTATAAATATGATGTGGTTCTTATTGATTACCTTTCAACTATTCTAATGCTACTTTATGTCTTTACCGGACGAAAATGGAAGCCAATGCAGAAGGTACTCCAAACGTGCTGAAGGACTATCGGTTGATTGAAGGCAAACTCTTGCCTGGCATATACGACTTTGGTCAAAGGACACTGCTATAAGTTAAAACCTCCGCCCAATATGCCGTGATTTTAATCTTCTTTTCAAAACATACTGTTTAGCAGTGCCCGCAGTTACAGTCGCATGAAAGTTATAGCCTAATGTGTTATTCTGATGTCAAAGCTATATTACTGACCTTGACGGGTCTAACGGATTAACACACCACTTTACTTCTGATGGTCGTTGTTTCGATTCCTCGCACGGTGCAAACATTTGAATTTATGAGTAGGTATGATTGTTTGTTTCGTCTAGTTATTCTATGTATATTATGATATATTACAAAAAATATGTAAGTTTTTATATCACTTGTCTAGTACCTACTCATAACACAAGCTCTGCTTACCATGGGACTAGATGGCGATGTGACAATTGTTCAGAGTTATTTAATTATTACTGTGATATTTCTTAAAAAATCTGTTCACTAGTTTTTGCGTAAACAGTATTAAACATCCATCCCTCCATCTATACCTACTCACAAACTTTCGCATTTATAATATCAATAAGATTTCTATTTTTATCGTTTGTTTTTTGTTCTGTAATTTTTGTATTGTTGTGCAATAAAGAGTATAAATAAAATAAAAAAATAAAATAAAAATAACATTATAATTTGGAATTTCTTAAGTAACTCTATTATAGTGGAATGCCCCATATTCGTATATGGGTTAAATAAGACGCAAGATATGCTAGTTCTAACTAAGTAATCAAACTATGTATATGTACATATGTTCAGGCAGTTTTTTAAGTATTCAATATTTTAATTATATTTACAATGAATATGTACATAACTATAAATACCTACCTAATTAACCAATTAGGTATGGATAAAAAATATTTACATTATATAATTCGGACGTAGAAGTGTTAAGTAAATAAAATAAGTGGTTTGAGGAAAATCAAAATTACTTGTGAACAAATAACATAAAGAAAATATGTAATAAATTATGTCCAACAAAATTTTAAGTATTACGAAGTGTGAGGTACAACGGACAAACACTAAAACGTAGATTGTATACACATATATGGGCGTACCCAGTATCTGGTCAAGTCAAGTCAGCGACAAAGTAATTTGGTTTCGAGGCTTTCATACGGATAGTATTGCGGGTCGTTGCATATACTTATATATAACAAAAGCGGCGGCAGGTTACGGCTACGACTGGTAACACTCCTTCGCGTGTTCCAAATTTACAAAACTATGATCCGGCCTGCTGTCTTGTATGGATCAGAATGCTGGCCCGTAAAGGCGACTGCATGCAACTGAAATGCGAATGTTGAGATGGATCTGTGATGTGACTAGAAAATAAAGAATGAATACATTAGAGGAAGTATGAAAGTGGCGCCGGTGTCGAAGAGGTTGAAGGGTAATCGTGTGTTGTGGTATGGGCATGCAATGCGCAGAAATGAATATATTACTTTAAGGAAGGTCAATATGTATGTGGATAGTTGTAAGGGCAGAGGAAGGTCAAAAAAGGTAGATAGTCTGCGTGAAACATGTTATGGCAAGAAACGGATATGGCAATAATGAGATGACTGCGAACAGGGATCCATGAAAGAGAAAAACATATTACGCCGACCCCAATCAATGGGATAAGGACAAAACAGATGAGGTAGGAAATATAACAGAGCGTTAAAGTATAGGTACAGTTTTAGAACTGTACCTATACTTTAACAGTGGAGTACACAAAATGTACGTAATAACGTAAAGAGTAAATTACACAGAAAAGTATAGATATAATAAATTATACATATGTAGAGCGCAGCTTACATTGAGTATTATTACCTTAAAAGAATCTTAAAAGAAATACTAAGTCTACTTTAAATTTGAAAATCAATATGTAATGTTCAGTGACAATGTTCGTTTTACTTAAACCCATTAAGCGGAACATTCGGGACGCGTGTTTTTGCGGTGTTGGTGCGGTGGAAAGCGGAATGTATCGGTGCGTTTACTTCCGCGCTCCACCAGCCACTGGCTACACTATATAATCGTATCTAGATGCGGTATACAATAAAACGTAAATATTTAACAGTCTTAGTGATCTAGCTATATAATACAATGTTTTACTTCCGATGGTCGCGGGTTCGATTCTTCGCACGATGCATGAAAACATTTGTATTTATGAGTATGATTGTTTGCATCGGTTTGAATGTTTTCTATGTATATTTTTTAAGGATGATAATAGCAGTGGGGGATGATAAGATGAGCATGCGGTCAGGTTAGTTAGCCCATCGTGGTAAATTCATCACGATGGGTTCCAGGGGCAAACACGTGGAGGTCAACCTGACATGGTATCAATATACGTCAATATACGTGCTAACAATGGGGTTATTAGTCCACATTACTAACAATCCCCTTCTCCCTCCCAAATATATTTAGTACCTACCTATACATATAAGAAAAACAATATCTGGGTTTTATATCAGGTGTCTAGTACTATAACACAACGTCTGCTTAGCTTGAAATTAGATGGTGTAAATTATCCTAAAATATTATTATTATAAAGATATAAATGCTGCAAAGATCATGAAAGACATCCTCAAGCTATCAGACATTGGATATTATTAATATTATCAAAGTATACTACATGTTTTTGTTTTATATTGAACAAAAGTATGGCCTGTACTGTATAATACTTATAATATGACCTACTGTAAGAATTGACTAATACCTATTTATTTCCTAGTGGTTACCCGCGACTTCGACAACGTAGTACTTTAGTAAGTTTAGTAAGATCTAATAGTGTATTATTATTATTATCACTTTTGTATCCTTTGCTTGATTAATAAATAATTTAATAACTGTATTTCACCCCTTTGAATTGAATTGTAAGCCTGTATATTTTAATTCTAAGGAAATAAAGTAAACCTTAGAATATCTGGGTCTACACATAATAAAAGCAACTCACGGCCGACTGACAGTCTAAACTGATGCTTTTTGAAGCATTATTCAATAAGAACATATTATATTCTAATACTAGCATCAGGGTTAAATCGTATTTTAGTATTAGGGACTAAGGACTCCATCGCTTACAATTTATCAAGACGACTTTCAGGTAGTCCTTCTGGAATCTATCGTGGTGAATTCTTAATGGACCTCGCACTAATTTTATCATCCTCTTTTGATGCGATTAGCGGTATACAGTTAGGTATCGCAGAAAGGTACAACATTCCATTATCATCCATAAAAAAACACAGGTATCAGTTATATTTCTTAAGACGTTTAGAATGACGATTTAAATGAGCAATAGGTGAAATATTCCTATAATTAAAAAAATAATGGGACTAAATTATATTGCATAACATTACTTCATTAAACGAATGACATTTTTTGGTAGGTACTTTAATATTAACTTTATTAGATATTGATGTTATTGTCATTGGTCGATAGTTTTTATATTGAATGCCTGTTAAAACAAAACTTTTAATATTATTAGAAACAATTGATGAAATTAACGATTTGATACAAAAGGTGTTGGATCTTTGAAATCCGTAAAGACTCTTTCAGGAAATGTGACATTTGTCAATATATCATCGTTTTTTCATTACGAATAAATTTTACTGATAAAAAACAATATTGTGTACATTCGAAATTAGGTTATTAGGATTGGCTCTTTTTATCGTTTCAAAAATAGAAAAGTGTAAATTATATTAGACAACCAGTAAGAGAACACTAACAGGTGAATGAGTTTCATGTAGCGTCTACCACAGATAAGGTAATATTACATACGTCTATTACCTACTTAAAAATAAGAAATATTTATTGACCGCTCATATATACTGTCATGATATTATAATTATGAAAGATTTAAATGTTTGAAATAGAAATACAAAAATTATATGATTGATTTTAAAAATTTGCTCTTGGTAGGTCACATAATTACAGAGTGATAATTATAGTTGTACAAATCTTACAAAGAATGAACACCCACCGAAGCCAGATCGACTAGTATATTTTTAGAAATAAAAATATTCATTTACGTCATAAGAATACTTTTCATAATGTATATACATTCGTTTTTTTTTTAATAAATGATAAGCAAAGGACTCGTCAGGTGCGAGAGTAGCGGTCATATTGATGTTTCATAATATAAATCAGCGATGTAGTAGGTGTGTCAGCGCAGTTGTAAGCGCACGCTCTCCACCGCGAGTTCATCCTCTCCAGAATTTATTCTTAAAGAAATAGTAGCTATTCTATATTTAAATTGAAAGTTTTATACACATCTTTAAACATGGGAAAACGTAAGTACTATTTCGTAAATAATTTCGACAATTTATATTAATACTATTTTAAAAGTACCTACTGAATTAAAATAATCTGAATACGGGAAATTAATAATAAGATATTGTTATTAATTATAGTAGTAGTTGAAAAATAGTTTAGTTGTTCTGTTTTTTATTATTTTTTTAGTAATTTGTGACTTAAGCAGTTTAGATTATAATTTCACGAATATAATGTTGTAATTAATAACGTTTACTGACGTACAAATCCTAGTTACTGTCTCTTTTTTATACAATAGTTTTGTACGAATAAAAATTATTAAATATATAAATTATTATATTGAAAATTAATCAAAATTTCCGTAGTAAATACTGAAACATAATAATTTATTTAATATAAATTTAATTCTATGGTACCTAGGCTACCAAATAGGTACGTATACGTAAATACCCAAGTACATCTACCTACGTATTATCAAAAGAAGACAAAAAACGTTCTCGTAAACCGGTCGACCGCAATTCACAAATCATTAATTTTTACCAAAATGATTTTCGAAGTTGTATCAATCTAAAATCCCGCTTCTGTATAAAACAATCAATAAGAATAACTCGTTAATAAAAATAATCCATTTTAAATTGATCAATTCAATGGCCTGCAAATTAACCCGCATATTGAATGACATGTGCAATGATTAACTTTTTTCTGCATTATATTATAATTTTAAAGTTACATATCCATAGGTTTGCATTTTGTTTGTGATTAATTATGGAAATGTACCTATATCTATATTTTATTATGCATCTATAACATTGTATATTAAAGATTTCAATGAGTTTTTGATGTGTCTACCTATCATTATTATCATATCTACCTGCTCATAATGTAAGATATAATGTAATGAATTTGGAGGTTTGCTCATGAGCTTATGTTTTTTAAGTTAGTTTCATGAATATATATTATGTACAAGATTTATAAATACTTATATTAAACTACAATACATTAAATATATACATTAAATACAATACATTAACTACATTATATTAAATTTACATTGAGTGCATTTCAGAAAAATTCGTAATTGAATTTACTTAACCATAACTCGTTACAATTTAAACCCTAGTTGGGTTTAAATTTGAACGTGTACATACTATTAAATAAAATATTCCTACCTACATAACCTCAATTCTAAAAATTTTTAAATTCAAATTAATTCTGTGAACTCAATTAGATTATTGATATTTTAAATACTTACAACTAAATACTTATAATATACATAGAAAAATGCCCTGACTATTATAAATATAAACTCCTGTCTTTTTAATATGTCGTCTAACACTGATAATTTTATAAACTTAAAATAAGTATTACGTTTATTGTGTTTCATTTGTTTTTTACCATAATTGTTTTTATGTCATATTTCGATTATACGTATATTTTTATTGATAGCTCAGAACAAAAAATTCTTATTGTAACTAAATTACAATGTTACAATAAGAATTTTTTGTTCTGAGCCTCGCTATTTTTTTGTGGGTAAAGATAAGTACTATACACATGTAACATCAATATTTTCGCACCCCATGCTTGCAACTACTTTTACAGCGACATATCGGTTTACAATATATCAATATTGAAGGTATTTCTTCTTCTTACTAACTATCTAGGTTAGTACGTTGTCAGTAAGTAGGTAACTCTTGTTACCTACTTACTGACAACGTACTTTCCTAATTAAAAGAATTTTTCATTTCTTAAAATAAAATTTATGTTAATCAACAACAAGAATCAAATCAAATCTTTTGTTTTTCTTCATTAAAAATATTAAGGAAAACAGTTAAACAAACTACATAAGTGATATAAATTCTTATTGTTCCATTTTAAATATAAAAATTAAAATCTAATAATGTCCGTGACACATAACCTACATCTAAATCACATTAAAATTCATTACCACTTGATTACATGTCATTAACTCCTAATCATGTTCGTAACTCGTTATGATCACATAATATGCAATTACCCCGTGCAGAATATACAGGAAATATACGAGAAAATTATCCAAAGTTGAAGAAAATCATATGTATTTCTTATTTTTGTCATTCTAATGTTTCTATTGTAATATAATTTTTTTAATTATTTTTTATTAGACTCACTATGTAGGTAATTATGTAAAAAATTTCGGCACTCAATGTCTATTGTGAAAATACGTTTACTCGAACATTTAGGTATATACTTATATAACGACTGTTTATTGTCGAAATAAAGGCAAAAAAAATTATGGAATGGGAAAAAAAGCTAAATCTGATAGAACAGTATGTTATCTGTGATAGTAAATGATAACCATTGTTTAAATATATGAATAGAACCACGCACATCACATCATTATTTGATGGACAATTCACAGGTACTAGAAATCTGATAGATATATGACAAATACGTATCAGATTTAGTAACCGTATATATATTTTTAAATACATACATAAGAAATACCCACACCGATACAAACAATCATACAAATGTTGGCATCGTGCAAAGAAAAGGACGCGCGGCCATCGGAAATGTAAATGTATGAATTCTGCTATCAACTTTAATTCTAGATTGCACAGAGAGTTTTTTTTTTAAATACATGCCAGAAGGTATTTATTTAAAAAACAAAAATGTATGTAAGTATTTGTATCAGTAGTTTAATACCCATAACACAATCATCTCATTCTCTCACACGCTTCGTTTAACTTGGGACTTGTTTTATAATGCGCTTATTTTTAAAAGAGATACACCTTTTTAAACTAGAGAAATGACGTTATACAAATTATTTTAACTGTAATTTAAAGATTTTTGAAAATTTCTAGTAATATATAGAAAGTATTTTTTTAAACAAGATTCACTTGTATATGTTACTATTTATGTATAGATGTAATTTTTCTTAATTTTATAAGACTAACTAAGCATATATATTTTTTGGAATGATATACAAGCGTCGTAATCGCAAGAAATATTCGCAACATAGTTTAATACTTCTGTGAATGTCATCTTTACTTCAGTAATTTTGTTCGCAAAATAATGAAATTTTGTTTCTATTTGAAATAAATAATAATTATTATATATATACAAATAAATTATTAATATTATAATTATTACTATTATATATAATAAAGTATAGCATAGCTTAGTAAATGAGCGTACTTGATGCTATGGTATCATTGTAGCAAGATATTTAAAATAACATTGAGGTACAATAGGTATAACTAATACATTTCACTAGTGACTCATGAGTTATTTTTACCTCAATGGAAATATTCGTCGCATCAATAACGTCATTAAAAAAATTCCAAGCTAAGTGTAGGTAAATGTTTAAAGGAAATTCATTTATTTTATTTTTTATAATGTCAATCAAGAAATACATGCGGTGAATAAATATGTAAATTCTTAATACTTACCTCGTAATAACCGTTGTATTGAAGCATCTTTAATAATTTTATTTATTTAAGTTTCTTTTATTCTTCTCTATTTCGATTTTTTGCCAGTCAGAATGCAGTTATTTCGGGCTGGATTGTAGGTTACCATACGGGTGATATTCCAGTACGTCTATTACGCTGTCATCCCCTTTATAGCACATCTCCACACACCATGAATTATCTTTCAGGCCATCTGTTCTTACTGCAACTTAAAAGTAACGTAAAAAGAAACAATTGAAGTATAGAAGAAAATATTCATTAACTATCTCGTACTCATATGTAATCTTAATATGCATCAACAAATATCAAAGTATACGACTCTAATAACTATAGTTATGTTGTATACCAAAATGGTGTAAAGCAAATATATTTAAATTAATCTAAAAAACTATTTAAATTTAAGTTGATAATACAAACAACAGTGTATTTGTAGGTAAGTAATAATACTCGCCCACGTCATTTTAAGTTTAACATACGACATATTGGCTAAACATCGACTGCATGGCATTTTAAATTAGTTTTATATTGTGCCGTCATTATTTCTTGTGTATACACCTAATGTAATTCTTTAGTTAAAAAATAATGCTCAGATTTTTGAGTTACTCAACAATGAAGATAGGTAGTTACAACAGCATTACTTGTAACATCCACGGCATCAAACCAGAATTGCTATATCTAATGAAAAATTGAACTGACATCATGGTTTCAAAGTTTTTATAAATCGGTATCTGTACTCAGTAATTTCATTGTTATATGTTTTGTCTCGTCTTTATTAGCTATTACATAGCTGCGTATTGTTAGAATGTAATAATCCCCGTGACTTGTATGATACAAAGTATAACAGCAATTAATTCTAAGCAAAATATTAACCGCTGCAATAAATTGATTTTAAACGCATTTCTTAATGTAATATATGACACCTACCAAGAATTAAAGGGGGAACTAATACAGTAGCTGATTCTACGGAGTCGTAAACGACGACGTTATATATACTTCTTTGCATATATCTGTTGTGGCTAGCCCGGTGCCTATTAAATAAGCCATTAATTTTATTTGTCAGTGTAGTTGGAATAATGATAGGATTGAATTGTCATAGTATGGCAGTATAAGATGGGTACTTAGTAATAAGAGCATAAATCCAATCTGAAAACAAAATTTAGTATTCGATCAGAATACTCAAATAATAAATAACGCGTAAATAGTCCAATACTATATAATCACAACAGTTCTACTACAAAGTTCTGTTTGTATTGAACTAGATTTAACAATAGTTAATACCTACGTATAATAAATATCTTAACAATAATATAAATGTAAAGGTGTATGAGGATTGATGGATGATGAAACTCTTTTATGCAAAAAGTACCGCACAGATTCAATTGAAATGTGGCACAGAGATGAATCATATCCTACATTTACACATAATACTATTTTTTCTCGAATTCACACCTATGTACCTATTTTGCCGCGGCGATACGCCCCGCCATAGTTAGTAATTCATAATTGGATGAATATAACCACAGATAATATAACGTTTTAGCCGTCTGCTTAGGTGGGTATGTAACAAATTGCATGAATGAAAATGACGGCAGTACGACGACGCCATAGTTTAATCTCTTTTATTACATCACTAAACCGGTGGGTGCTAATCATGATAAACCAGTTATTTAAATGCAGTGCGGAGTGATGTTGCAGTAAAAATAAATATTTTCTATAAATACTATATTGTTAACGAATGCTTTTGGATGTGTCACAAGGTTAAGCAATATATACTCGGATCATTAATGAACTGGTTTACCCCGAAATGTCCTCCCTTTTAATTCCCGCTTCCAATTCTTCAATTCTCTGATGATGCAAATTCGCTTTTTTAATTACGGACATAAACATGAAAAACTGGATCATAAATGTGGTACACACTTAAAAATGCAAGTTCTTTGTCTCTGATTGGACGATCACTAGAAAAGGAAGATTCAATTACCATAACATGTGCAGACTTTTCAAATCTTCTAAATTATTGAAACTAGTAAAAACAAGTTCTTAATGTTTGATATTACTGTGTAATAATGCTAAATATTACTAATAGATGTTTAGAACCCGCGAACAATTCTGGAAAATCTGACATAAACTTAAAGATTATGACTGATTGCTATGCGTTAATCTGTTTGTCTGTCCTTATAAACAGTGAAATAATATATCAAGTATATTTTCCATATAATAAATGATATTTAATTTCCTAATTATTATTTAAATAAACAAATTAAAGACATTTTATTGTTTCAGTATCACAACATATGCTTTCGGATATAGAAAAGTTGCCGGGTGTACAATTGGGTGACTTCTTGCTGCAGTTCGAATTAGATGAGCCCAGAGAGTCTGTGAAGGAGATCGCCAGGCGCGAACTAAGAGAAACGCCAGAAGTCATCAAACCTGCAGTCGAGGAGCTGAGAAGGCTACTTGAAGGTAAGTGTGTTTACGTGAATGTTTTAATATACTGTTTTATATTTTTTACTTGCTGTGACCGCCATTACATGCGCGTCTATATTGTAGACGTCATCTGTTGATAATAATAATCAAATGACAACAATAAATAAAACATGTATAATATGCTATTGATCAAATTAATAATAAATTAAATCATAAAATGGTATAGAGACACATAGAAAAATCTACTCTAACAAATATTTCACCCATGTATATCAACATGTTTTATGGAAATTTCATTCTATTCTCCAACCGCGTATATATGAAACTTTTAACAGACACTTAGACAATTTATGCAACTCCATCTTCTATCATGAGTACATGTATCTATAAGTATATTACACTGTTTTTCAGTAATAAACAAACCCCTTTTTAACTTCAAAGAGTCTTTATTTCACTCTTCAACTTTTATAATTATGTTATACAATGTGTCTGTAAATTCTGAACGGATTTAGTTAATTCTACTTGTTCGGTTATATTATACAAAAATCTATTCCACGTCTATCTTAAATCGTATTGCATTAAATACAAGTATTTTATGCAGCAGTATAATTATCTTTTACTAAGTATGCTACCTAACAACGGGTTCCGACAACACTGATTGGTAATATAAAAGAGTCAATATATCGATGAATCAATATAAAAGAGTAAATGTCAAGGATATTGTTGATTTTATTATATTATTAATATGTCTAAAACGTGCTGCAAATACTTTGAGTTAGTTCATCATGTCAAGAAATAAATTTTTAATAAATATTTTTGGTAATCGTAAAATTTCAAAAACACCGATAATAAACACATATTTTAATTAAATTATATTTTCCAATAATCTTTTATGTTTTTCCCACTTCAAGATAGAATTTGCAAAAACTTTGAAATGTATGTCACCTGATTCTATACAAAAAGTAGAAATTGCAAATATTATGAAATTTAAATTTAAAGATGACAATGATTTCTAAAAACTTTAATTCCATTCTATAATGGGTAAATTTTCTAAGAATACTTTGTTAGCTCTTTTCTTGATTTTTACATAATATCAAAATATCTAATCTAATATAACTTGATTTTTAAAAAGTTTAAAAATAAAAATTTCATTGTTACCCAAGCACGTCAAGAAGGAACTTACACGTGTGTTAAAAATGAAACATTTTGAACCAGTCACTACAAATTTTTTAAATCCAAATAGAACATATACAATACATATTATTTATTGTCGTATTAAAACACTATAATTATAAAAAAACTTAATAATCAACTTAATAATATGCTAATAAGACATTGTCATATCATAATATCATCACGTGAAGTTCAGTTCAAGTTCACAACAACACGGGGTCAACAACTAATGATGTTTATTGAAATACCTCAACCAGGTGGTGTACTTAGTACCCATAAAAATAACGTTGCTCGTATCGGTATGCAACGGATTCCACTTGACATAAAGAAGTCAATTTGTTTGTTTACCACTCCATACATCAAAACAAGTATTAAAACAAACATCAATATGAATGCAAATGAAGAGTCGACTTTTTGAAGTTGCTAAAAACTGTAGCCGAATTTAGCCTGCGTATATACCTTTAAATTTCTACGTACATGCCTATATAGGTAGATGCTTATTATATGCGGTTATATGTACATTCACACACAATTAAGATAACTTAAGAATGATTAAAAATGGAATTCATTACTGAATTCGAAGTTCCTCGAAAAAAAATGTCTAATACATGTTTACTGAATTGCAGATTTATTATTTCGTGTTAACGTAGGTATTTAAAATATGCGTACTTCATATTCAGCCCGTAAATTCGATTCTTTGTTCCCAATAAAACTTTCAGGAACTTGCAATCCCAATCGAGGCGAAATATTGCATATGCATGTAAAGCATATAAAGGAATGTCAATAAATTATTTATATGGACCTGGAGTAAATAACAAAACAATAACCATATTTAGTTTAAACATGTTTGAGTTGTCTCCATGTGTTGGCACAGTTTACCTCAAGGAGGTCTTCATGAGATAAACACATAAGAAAAGCTTATTGTTTCATATAATTGGAATAACAAACAGCTGACGATCCACCTGATGGTAAATAATAACTGTCGCCTATGTACACGAATAGCACTACGAGCATCATGTTATCATGTGATACCCGTGTAACCCTCATATGTTGCCATTCCAGGTTGAGGTACCCACATTTACATATTACATTGAGGTACCCACTGAGGAAACTTTTTTCATTGTATCTCGTCTTTACTTAAATAAGGCATCCAAGTAAAGATAATTATCCCTAAAACGATAGGGTATATCTTTTAATAGTGGACTTAAATATTAACTTATTTATCCATGTAAATTATATTACGTCCCTAAATCGTAAATAAGTAAGTACATAACATGAGAAAAAAATAATTTAAAATAATTTTGATCTTATTACTGCGTTAAGAAAATTTATATGATACTTGCTGTGCCTGCGGTCTCACTTGCATGAAATTTATAGCCTATATGTTATTCTGATGTATATGCTATATTACTGTAAAATATCATCAAAATCCGTTCAGTAGTTTTTGCATGAAAGAGTTACAAACATCCATACTCACAAACTTTCACGTGTATAATATTATTAATATTAAGATTATTATTTCTACATGTGAATTGGTAAATATTTGTGCGATTTTTATGATCCTAAATATGCTAACTGCTGAAACGGGTAGATAATTATTGCAACAACATCCTCTTGCCATAGGCGTGTGAAAATTATTTATTAAACAATTTTCACATCCTAGTTACCAAATTGAAACCAAATCAGTTGTCATCTTGCACTTAGTTTTACGTGGAATATGAAGTCGTTGTTGATATACTTTTTTCGTATGAATGTAATCTATAAAAACCTATTAAAACATATAAAAAATATGTATTTTGATCTGACAATACTTTGTGTCAGATCAAAATACATATTAAGTATAAACCTCTTAATGTGTTATGGTTCATAAAAATGGAGTAGTAACACTAATCAAACGTTTTTTGCAATTATTAAAATTACAATGAAATACAGTTGAAGGGCCATATATATTGAACAATATTTCACACTCTTATAGGTAGCGGCCTGAATTGCCATTTCCTTTGAATATGCAGTTTACAAATTGATTTTTTCTTCTTTTTATATTACAGATGATAAAGACTTACACGTACCCCTGGATAGCGACGCTTGGCTTATTCGCTTCTTGAGACCGTGCAAGTTCTATCCTGAAAGTGCCCATGATCTGGTAAGTCAGCATAAGAAACAATAAACAAATACCACAATAAATCTATTGTTGATGTACGTAGAAAATAGCATATTAAATCGAAATAATTATACATGAATCACTTACTACTGTAAAAGTAGTCATGATGTACATATAATCTATTATACCTATTAGTACAAAATATAGCTTTAAATTTATATTTTATCCAGAAGCACAATCTGTGCTAGCACATAAGCTTCTGGATAGCCTTCCTGATGGAACGTGGTTATGTCTACTATTATATACACAGTATAAATATTCTGAATGAACACAATAACGATTCCGTAACTCTCATGTTAGCGTGGTCGTTTCTTTAAAAGATCTATTCTAATAAAAATTACTTTTTATCGGTCTTTGAAATTTATTGTGAAATATGCAATAGACATTTTTATTAGTGAATAAATACTATATTATTGTCATTTCCGCTGTTCATTGTCCGCTACTAAACATAATAGGCAGGTTGACGAAGATCAGTATAGAATAATGGCATCAATGAACTCCCTTCACTTTGAATCGCTTCTTTGCCAGCTCTTTCGGTTAAAGATTGAGTTATGGCTTAATTAAACGGTAAGGAGACCTTAGTCTTTCGGAATTATGAGTAGCTTTAGCATAGCATAGCATTAAATGTATATAACAAACAGTTGTTCTTTGCCGTTTCAGTATAAAAAAACTGTATCTCGATTCCGATCCGATCGGAACGTTAAGGAATCGGGCTCGATTCCTTAACGTTAATTAAGATTAACCTATTGTTCTTTAAGATATTTTTAATTACATCCACGATAACATAGTTTCGAGTACAGAAACATTAAAATAAATATGTTGTTAATTTCAGATAAAACGTTACTATGCCTTCAAAGTAAAGCATTACAAACACTACGATGGTCTGGTGCCAAGCAAGGAGACTAATATATTCAACCAGAACATACTGACGGTGCTACCGACACGGGACCAGTACGGGCGGCGTGTACTTGTACTTGAATTGGGCAGTAAGTAAACGTCTAAAAATATTTTTATAATGGCACGGATGATATGTACTTAATACTTAATGAGCAAATAACTTGTCTGTTGCTCTTTTAAACAAAGGTATAAATCAGAGCAAGGATAAAACAGACTGCAATGAAACTTGCAATTAATTTAAAATAAAACAAAATTAAGTCTGTATCAGTGTATAAATACTTAAGGACAAGATACCTAAGGACAAGGCCAAACTTCAAAATGAAAAGTATGCAATTACGCTGCCGTCATACTCGTCAGCTGAAGTCGGTATATGTAGGCTTTAAACGCTTTCTGTTACGGCTCATTTTTATTCTACTATATTGACAAATAAGCTGGCATTCCGTATTATGGCAAATTGGCGTTGGAGAGATATAGACAGTATCTTCTGTATGACAAAGAATAAGTAACGTTGCTACTTTTTAAAATGTATAAGTCCTATATGACATATATTCATACTTACTGTCTGCAACCATCCTACATGACAAATTAATAATTACTGAATTTGCATTAATACATCGACAATAAATTTTGTTTTAATTAGGAAATCGGCACCAAGTATGACTCAATCTCACCTAAAGTATGTTTTATTACTGAGGCTCATGGTAAATATCAAAAATGTTACTCAAATATTTGAACTAACATATGTATTTGACTAGTGATGCTTGCAATTAAAATAAACAGTTTTAATTTCCGCTAAGCTATCTCGTGAAAAGAAGGTACTTTTTCTACTTACAATTAAATATTAAATATTTAATTGAAAGTAGGAAAAGTAATAGTAATTGCGATTACTGTTGCCGACTCCTTGGACTTCTAACATGCATTGTCTTGGGTTCCCTTTACTTTGAAATATTTATTTATTTAATAATACTATTTTATCTACCTACATATAAATTTCATTTGATACCATAGTTTTATATTATCTTGGGTACGCCTTTTACTAGTCAGTTGCAAAATAATGCATTTAAAAGTATAAAGAAAATTTTTGAAAACAAGATTAATCTAATATAAATATTACTAAATTCTAATATGGGTACGCCAATAAAGTTTGTTTGCCATAAATATAAGTAACTCTTGTCAGTTTATTTATACAATGAAAGAAAATAATTTTACTATGCAAACTCTTAATTGTAAAATTACAATGGCAACCGGAAAATGATCATCAAATAGATTATGGTTTAGCAACACTGACGTGATTTAAATGATGATTATATGAGAATCTGATTACATATGTATAATATACTAAGTATGTAATTTATCTATGCAATTAATTTTTACATACTGTTTACTATATTTAAGACTAGCTTACCCGCGCATCTTCTTTTGCGTCATATATTTTACGTATATGCAATATTTTCATTACAACTCCGCTTCTATTGGTCGTAGCGTGTATGTGTTTATATCAGTTATCTCGTCGTACCCATAACACAAACTTAGCTTAGCTTGTGACTAGATGGCGATATGTGAATTGTCTTGAAATACTAATATTATTATTGATTTGAAATGAAAGCTAAATTATTTTCTGTGATTATATTGAATACGTAGGTCAAAATGATATTTGTTTAAAATAGACCATAATATCATATAAAAATTATAATTGTTATTTTTTTAAGTGGTGGTAGGTTTTAGTTGAGAATAGACTACATAAAGCCACACATCAGCCTATTACATTTAAATAGTATATTTAATGTAACTCTATTATATATAAATATATGTAGTTTGGGAAACAAATAAATAAAAAGTAGGTAAATATATATTGTACATGTATATATATATGACTTTACTCTATAAATAGATCCAACTATAATGAGTTGGAAATTGCAAAATGTATTCAAAAGTGATAATAACGGATACGACTCACTGTCTATGTGATACCTAATAACGTAGACACTTACGGTCTTATTCATAAAAAAACTTATTGAAGGTTTATAGAGCTCATTAGTTAAAACGTTCATTAGCGCTATTGAAGGTTTATAGAAGTGCGTTATTCATAAACCTATTATAAAGCCTCGCTAACTAATAGAGGTTTATAGGACTGTTTTTATCATTATGTTGCAATCTTGACGTTGGACTGTTTTACCATATACGCAGGTGACGTAATCAGTGTTGCTATTTTAGTTGCTTCACCACTAAATCTAGCAGAATTAACTCCTCCAGTATTGAACAAATTATGTAAATTAATACATTTTTATACATTTTCCTATTGAATATATATAAAATTGTATTTTATTATTGTAATTGTATTTCTATTTAATAAAGTTAAGGGAAGATAGAAGTATTTTTACATTGTTTTTAAATATTACAATGATTTTTGGTTTGAATATGCATGTATTTTTATGCAAATTTTTAATATAATGGTTTCAAGTAGTTTTATTAATTCATTAATATTGATTTAAATATTTTGTAAAACTCGAGGTTTCTTTGCTATATAGTGGATTCAATAAAACATCGTTGGCAACACTGGTCCTGTCAAAACGATTGTTTTATTTACAAATTGCATGTTATAATTTACGATTGTTTTAATATAGTTACAATTCGTTAGAATTAGAATCTCTTTAGAGTATTATGTTCCTTGATTAGAATTAACGGATTGATTACATATTACGGATTTCATTGTCTAGTAAATTTTAAAATGGATAAACAAAAGAGAGCACGAAGCGAAAATTGGTTGGAAGACGACAAGGTAAGATTGTGTTTACTTATCAATATTTGTTAATTTATCCAGTTTTGGATCAAGTAAATTATTTTTTATGTACGACTTTGAATTTCACTTGTTTTAACTTTTTATTACATTCATTTAATGCATACCTTATTTTTGATAGAATTTATTGTTGGAATTGATCCGCGATCGTGTCGCCGTACTAGAGAGAATACGGATACGAATACCAACAACTGTAAAAAAAGAAAGGATGGCTGGAAGTTATGGATAAAAATATTTTTGTAACAAGTTAAATATAAAATATAGTAAACAAAGTAAATTAACATAATTTATTTTATTAAAAATTATTTTGTATAAATGTATCCAAAATATATCGAGAGTGTCTTCTTACAGCACCATTGCCCATTCCTTCATCAATTTGATGTTGTGATTGAATGGTAACCTCTTCAAGATTCTCATATTCTGAAATTAATAATATTATTACTTTACAGGCCCATAATTTATTGAGAAATATAATGTATTGCTACTTATCAAAATACAGCTTAAACAACAAGGATTAGAAACATGTCTGTATAACTATATTCAATGGATGACTGTGACTGCATCATATATCACAAGATATAAATAACAACAATGTATAAACTACATTAAAACTTTGTCCTTTACACATAATCTGGATAAATAGTTTGAAAGTTACATATTCATAGCAGACCTGTGAGGCTTCAAAAATAATTAATTCTGGAAGATTTTTACAAAAATACATTTTCATATGAAGTCACAGGCAACCGCTAGTTGTAATAATTGTGTAACAGTGCAAATTATGAATGCACTGAAGTTGATAATCATTTCATAGTAAACAAATTAGTGTTTGTACAAAAACTTGTATTGTAAATTTTTTGTAAAAATTGTGTTTATTAAATAATATTGAAATAAATAAAGTAGTGTTTCATTAAAAGAATTACCTAATATATCGTCATTCCTACTCATAGCGATATTGTGGAGCACAGCTAAAGCCACTATAACTGCCTTTCCATTTTCCAGCGATACACTTAATCCATGTAGTAAACATTGGAATCTCTGTTTCCACACTCCAAAACATCTTTCCACACTATTCCGTGTTTTGATATGGGCAGAGTTATACCTTTCTTCCTTTCTACATACAGGATGCAAAATTGGTGTAAAAAGGTAGGGCAGAAGTGGATACCCTGAGTCACCGAGTAAACGTCCTCTAAAGTGACCATTATTAAACCTTTCTTTTATAATTGACTCAGTAAATATTCTACTGTCATGAGTACTGCCCCTCCATCTTGCTACAACATCTCTTATTACAAGTTTTGCATCACAGACAACCTAAAATCAAAATAATTAAGTACTTTATACATTACTAGTACATATATATATATATATAAACCTTCCTCTTGAATCTATTATAACCCCCCTTCAACATGCATTGTATAGTTTTAATGTGACTTTGTTTTATACTATGTAATGATAATTAGTTAATCAAACAATATAGATATGTTTTACACATAATACATAATTTTATCACCTGCACATTCAAAGAATAATATCCTTTCCTATTTATGTAATATTGGGCTGCATCACCACCTGTTTTTTTAATTTTAATATGGGTACAGTCTATAGCCCCTGTAACCCCTGGAAAACCAGCCAGACTTTCAAAATTTGTCATACAAGACCGTTCCTCTGTGACAGTTTCTGGCATTTTTATAAAAGTGGAAGCAAGCTGAGCAATTGCCTTTGCCACTCTACTACATATCCTACTAACTGTGGGTTGACTGAGTCCATGAAGATCAGCACAATCATCCTGAACCTATGAAATGAAAGATATCAAGATTAATTATGAGTTTGAATTGTATGAAAACTTACATATAAAAACTTACATTATCCTATATATAAATATATGATTGATGAATGTATTGTAAAAAAAACTTACCTCTCTTCGTCCCCAACACCTCAAAGCAGTTAATACTTGCAACTCTGGAGAAACGGCACCACCTCTGGGATCTTGTTTTAGTTGATCGTACACCAAGGAAATTATATATCGAGCAGTACTTTTATTGAATCGGTATTTATATTTAAAGCACTTATCTGGTAAAAGAAATGGATTGACTTTTTTTTTAAATGTTTTTTTTTGGCGAATTCTTGACATATCAATTAAATTAATTGTAGAAATGGTCGTAATTGCTTCCATTTTATTAATTAACGGAATAATTATTTCACAATTTTTAGGTTAAAATGCCGCTAAAGTAGGGAGTCGGCTCTGTTAACTTTATAGGCTCGCTATTTGACGTTTTAACTTTATCGGACCGCTATAGAGCGTTTATGAATAACGTTTTTCACTATCAGAGGTTTATCATAGGTTTATAGAGGGTTTATAGAACTGATTGCTAATGAACAGTTATAAGAGCTTTATAGAGCGTTTATAAATAGAGATTTTTATAAAGCCTTTATAGCTCTGTTATAGTGGGCTTATAAAGGCTTCTTAAGTTTTATGAATAACACCGTTATGACGCACAGTACAATCTATTACAGTCAATGACTAGACTGGTAAAAATAAATTTCTGTTTACATTTTTCGTCATACGAAACAAAGTTTTATAAAGTGGGCCTAATATTGTGACTGTTAAAGAATTAAACAAACACAATATAAAAAAGGTTTAAAAAATTATCAAAAATAATTTGTTTGATACACTGGCAGATAATGCCTAGCATATATAATGTAAGTCCCTAACCTATTAAGAAACTAAAAGTAGATACTCTTGTTACACGACCAAGCAGGTAGAACCATTTGTTATTATTTTATTATATTATGAAACCTCATAAATATTATGAAATGTTATTGAACTACGAAAATTTTATTTAAATTTATTTAATAAGTGAAGTAATATTAGGTTGATGCAATATTTAATATCTTTAGCAATTACTGTCGGTTAGATTTTGCCGCCATATCAAAAACACCTTAGTCATAACTACGACTTACTCGTAAAGGTGACTGGAAGATATCTTTTCTAGGGATAACTCCACCTTTGCTCACATTGTCTCTATTTTTTTTACTCTATTATCTGTGGAATAAGGAATTTGTTTTTATCGTTCTGTTTATTCAGCATTTTACTATACAATCTAATTAAATAATACATTTGTTTTAGGAAACATCAAAGTAGAAAAATAAATATTATTTCAGATTTTTGTGAAGTGACGACTAACATGATATATATTGTTACAGAAAAATGGAAACACAATAAGTGCTCTTTGGATGAGGTGTTCAAGGGTTGCGTATTATTCTTGGAGGCGGCCATGCTTGAACCAGAAACTCAGATTTGCGGTGCCGTGGTCGTTTTCGATATGGATGGTCTGTCCATGCAGCAGGTCTGGCAGTTCACACCTCCATTTGCCATGAGAATAGTCGACTGGTTGCAGGTAAATTGCTGTTATGCCAGCTATCATGTAAGGCTAATAACATACACTGGGTTAGTGGTCGGGGTGCCCGCACACGATTAACGTTTTACTATGTGTATATTACCAGTCCTTGTAGAAGTCGTAGTTTTTTTTTATTTATAATATTTTGTAATTCTTATAACTCGAGTAAATTTCTGACGAAGTTCGATATAGAGCCAAAATAATAAGAAAATATATAATATATTCTAATTACATATTTAACTAAGACTTTTACTCACACAGTAATTATAATACTCGGTAAACAGATTTATAAAATATTTTCAATACGCTCTTTTATTCATCGTAAAACATACCTAATACTATGAGTACGATAGAAGTGTGCATGTTGTAATAAAAAAAACAAATTAAAAACTTTAAATGTGTTAAACCTTACAAAATAAACTACTTCATCGGATGAAATAATGATGACATGAAAAAATAACGTAAAACATACATTTCTACAATTTTGCGTAATATTAATGTAATTTATATGTAGATTCAAGGATTATGAAGAAAGCGCATATCACTAATTAATTCATGTTTAAAAATATTTAATTAATTCATATTACATAAATACCTAATATACTAAATTTTAATAATTGAACTAAGTAAATGTTGATACCTAATTTCATTTCAAAGTTATTACAGCTATTTCAAAATCTGACGTTTGCGTAACAATTATGTCAATTCTTGAAAACAAGTTCCAATATTAATTAATTATTAGAAAAAAAGTGATAGGTACTAGTTTTTTTTTTCGGAATTCATAATTCAAAATTGGAATTGATTGTAAATGACGGCCTCGGTAGTCTACCGGTTTAACACCCCGCTTTACTTTCAACCGTCGCACAGTACAAACATTTTTATTCATAAGTATGATTGTTTGTCTCGGTCTGGGTATTTTGTATGTACATTACACAAGCTCTGCTTAGATTAAGACTTAATGGCACTATGTGAATTGTCTTGGTATATTTTACATTATAACAAAATATTTACTTCCTATGGGAAATGTGTTCGTAATGAAAAATTAATAAAAGAAGCACATTACACTAAAAAATAGCATTATAATGCTAAAAAGTTTATTACTTGCTGGATTTCTTTGGTCTTTAAGTGTACTATGTATATAAATAAAATCAATAGATATATAAACAATAACAATATACCATTTGTTTTTATTACAGGAAAGCATACCTCTTCGAGTAAAAGGATTATACATAATCAACCAACCTTATATTTTCAATATGGTATTCCAACTGTTCAAGCCTTTCTTGAAAGAGAAGCTGCGCTCACGGATTATTTTCATGGGTAGCGATCGAGACCTGCTTCACAAACATATTTCACCCAAATGCTTGCCAGACTGCTATGGGGGTACATTGTGTGTACCTCGGGTCACAGGTGCTCAGTGGCTGGAATTGCTCCTAATGTGTGATCAGGAGTTTAGCGGTAAGTTGTTATCTGTAAACGTATTTTTTTTTATATCAGCTTGAAAACTGTTCTTCTTCGTACTTTGTTAAATTAGCGGGAAATTCTATTGGTGCTGACTCACCACACTAATATAGTTATTAGGGATAAAGGGAAGAGAATAGAAATATATCTGAAAGAGACGAGCAGTTTCAATACAGTAGTAACTAATATATTTATATTTAACATAAGAAACTTGTTGTAAAATTAACTTCCATGTATGCAACACTTTTGTGGTCGATCAGAAACAGTCAGTTAGATGCTTCGTAGTCATTCAATTATATTAGGATTCTATTGCAACTCAAAAAATTGCAATAGCAATGGTTTTTTAGATCTGCAGAGCTTTCGCGAATGGAAGCCTAACAAAAGTGAATTCTATAATTTTTTTCACACTTTTTCTGTACAGCAACTAAAATAATATGAAGAGTTCTCAATTAGACATTATTTTTGTGCTATAATCTTAATTTTTTTATTAATATTGATAATTTATTTTAATTCCTGAACTTTCCTGTATTTTAAATTACGTAATATTTTAAATAATTTTCTCTACAATTGTACAATTAATACTCAATAAAACACCTAATCTGTTTCAGCAATCAACTCATATGGATACAAGAAAACGAAGTGATTACCAACAATCAATATCAACAATTTGTGCATATGTGATGGTTAAAACATATCGTGATAAACTATACATGGAAAATGTGATTTTAAATTTAATTCTATAGGTACAAACTTATTGTAGTATACATATTATGCCGGTTGCCTAGAGTAATATTAAAATCGTGTTCTAATCAGTTAAATTTTAGAAACTATTATTGTACGACAATTTTATTTTACTTGCCACATATCGTAAAAATATGTTTCTTGCAACCGATGCCTTATTTATAACTATATATATTTCTATATTTTGCATTCCATTTTGTATTCTGAGCAATAGTGCCAGTAAGACAATTGTGTCGATAAATTTGATGCAGTTGTTATTTTTTTGGCACAGAATCTCAATTGCCAACTTTGATTTAGATATTTTAGTTACAAATCATTTGCCATTTTATATTATACTTGGATAGATCCACATAGTGATCGATAGTTAGTAAAGGGTATAAGTATAGTGCCTTTAAGTGTACTAGGTATAATTAAAGAAATTGTAATGTCGGTATTTAAATTGCTTGAATAACAACAATATTATATTCTCAATTTAATCAATTAGTTTAAAATTATTTTATTATTCAATTAACTATTTAAAAAAAAAACAACAATTAAACGCAGTACTGGTACCTCTGCAGTCTCACAATATTATATTTCTTTCCTATCTAGGCTGTGATTTCAAAAATATCATAATAATACTCAATAATATAGTACATATATGACAATAAAAATACCTATACGCGGAAATGACTTGCCGTAATTTAAATCAAAATCTTCGAGATTGTTATTTATTGTCATAAAAACAAAAGCTGTCATGATATTTTATAAGGTCATACTATGCAGTTTAGCACAAAATAATTATATTATTCGTACTTTAGCGATGGTTTTTTTATTACATCAGGGACTATAACACCTACCTATGTGATAACATACGCAAGAATCATTTACAAATAATAATACCAGGTATTATTATGTGTTCCTAACATATTATACTTAATAGTCGCTACAGTAAATAATTGTCTTATTCAAGTATATATACCTAAGTAACTAACAAAAGATAAAGTACAGGGATATAATAATAATTTTCTTTTAATAATAATGCATAAAAATATTCTAAAGTCAAATATTATATAAGTCATTATTACCAAGGTATAAGCATATTTTGTGGTTTAGGTACGTATTTAACACTTTGGTGTATACTTAATTCCAAATTGCATATCTTATAAATACTTACTTATATTATAATAAAACTATGTTGTAATATAAAAAAAAACATTTATTTAAAAATTATGTATTTACAAAATCTTTATCTATGTATAAATTTAGCTTTGTAAGTTATTCTATAATAAAATTATCAAAGGAATGTTTGTATTATTTGATAATAACCTTTAATTTACTATGTTGTACGGCAGTTGTACTTTTGATGACATTATAATAGTCTTATTTCTAATAGGATCATTCTTTGACCCATTGAGCTGTGTACCTAATTTCAAACAATAACAATATAATAATTCTAATCGTGATCTCAAGTGTACCGAACTTTAAAATACTTTATGTTAACAAGGATTTTCAAATTTGAATAATATTGCTCTTAGGAAATATATATTACTTGTAGTATTCTAGCTGTGGTTTAACATAATCATGTTTACAGTGTCTAAACAACTGACTGTGTACTTGTACTTTATAATACTATGTAATACTATCTTGTTTATGGTAATACCAGCTAAGTACAGTTACAATACAGATACAAACAAAAGAGATATGAAATTCAAAAGAAATTAAATCGAGATATATTTATACAATAATAGTATCTATCGATGATAGTACATACCTATCTGTTAAAACTTAAAAGACGACTATAAGAAATGGCAAGGTAAAGTTTCAGGTATAGTGGTTTAACAAATTTTCAGGGGCTATAAGAATAAAAGCTATTAATATAGGATTGATTGATATGTGATTCAATTCACTTATTTGCTACAACTACTAAGTGGGTTATTTTTAAAAACTAAATTACTAAATTATTTAGGTTTTCCTTTTTCAGGGCTTGTGACGTTACGCCTTAAAAATATGCTACAACTGTCTGTAAACATAATTTAGTAGGTAGTTTTGTTTGGCAGTGTTGTGAAACAAAGACTGGTGTTATATAAGTATATGATCAAAACGTACATATATTATTGTATTATACTTCTTATATCTTCAGACTTATATATTCAAATCAGGAGCATTAAAATCTTAATATAGTTCTTAAAATGAATAGTAAAATGTTTAATACGCTATTTACCTACTTCCCTCTCTCCACATATAGACTAGGTTGCACTAGCCAATAAAACAATATTTTATGATCAGAAGAGATTTTTGTAATAGGATCATTATCGTACTACAGAAATCTCTCGTTGATGATAGTATATCACAAAAAGTTATAGTTATTCATAAATCTATATATAATTGACAGAAATTCTGAATTTAAAATCTACTACTTCCTGTTTAATGCAACCACAGTGTCGTTTGCAGTGATTACGTATTTCTATGTTTATAATATACATTTATAATTATATAATTATATTCTAGACTCTACGCCATATTTGACACACTTTTTGTATGTCAGTTACTAAGGTTTAACCCCTTGACCAACATTAGTCTTAACTCAGTCAAGTCTGACCAGTTATAGGTACCAAGTTATCGTACTTGTTTTATTATGCCCACATTAATTATTTTTTGTAAGCAATAAATGAAATTAATTGAATTTATATTTGTCCGAGATGATGACACAATATATATCTCTGTTGAATAGCGTAATTATAATATTTATCTAAACATGTATTTAAAAAATAACTAATATAAAAACTAGACTTAGTATAAAATGGAATCACAATCAATATAGGCTATACCCAACATTATCTATGTCATAATAGATTTTAAATATAGTTGAATAGTCAACATACTCCTGGGCTAATTGGCTCTAAAATCTTAAATCTCTTCACCAAAACCAGTTTCTTACTTTTTGTTGTTATTATTGGTTGCTGTATACCCATAAGAATTCTTTTCTGAAAATAAAATTAATATTGTTACTAAATAAAGTTTTGCCGTTTTTTTAAACTTGTTTTATTAATTAGTTAGTAATTAAATACTCCCTTTTTAATAGGCTATATTGAACAACTAGAGAACTAGAGAAGCTCTTCATATGAATTGTATATAAAATGATATGATATACAAATAAGAAAGCACTGTAGTTTATGAATCTAATATAAATACTTTATTTTTTACCAGATATGTTCTAACTGAACATTTAGAATAATTACGCATCATTCATAAGCGTTCTCTAAATGGTTCCTAAATATAATAATTATTAGAAACATTCACCTTTAAAATTATCTTCATAATGCATCAACATATTCCACACGACCTGACCAGGTATCTCAGGTTCAGGTAAAGTTCCTCCATATCGTTTTCGCAGCGCATCAGCATGAATATGGGACCGAAGGGATTCTCTGTCAGTACCATGGAAGTAGATCCGCGATCGGAGCTTCTCCCTCATAAACGGTTTGAAGATGGCAAACAACATGTTGAAGATATACGGCTGGTTAATTATATGGACTGCTTTTAATCTTATCGGAATACAATCCTGAAAGACATAATTAATTCTTGTCATTATTCTATTCATTGGCATAAGGAATGTCACAGAGATAATGATTTATAAAACATTCTTGTTCTCAGGAATATGACAAGAAACAGATAAAGGACTCAAACTTTGTAATCTATTACAAAGTTTACACACTATTAATTAATCATTATTTCTATAAGTTTACTAATAGTATACTCTATACTCAAAACCCACGAATATGTACTTTTCGTTTAAAATATTTGTTACATGAATAATTTACCTATATGAACTTTAGTAAGATGTATTCGGTTAAAGGGATGGTAAAAAGGCGGTGAAATTACATGATAAGATGCACATCTTAGACCACCAGAATGGCAACGCATGGGTAGTGCTACGGGCGTTACATGATGACGTCGTTACATTTTAGGAAAGTCGAGGTTACTATATAGGCGACGATCATTATATAAGATTAGGTGGTCGTCAGTTTGCTTGCCATGCCGTATAAAAGAAATACTGACCTGAATCCAGTCAATGACCATTTTGGCGAAGGATGGAGTCATTTGCATAATCTGAGCAAGTGTTAATCCTTTCATATCGAGGATGGTGATCACCCCGTTCACTTGTGTCTTAGGCTCCACCATCGCTGCCTCTAGTCCCAGCTGAACTCCCCTAAACAATTCTTGTAATGATACTTCTCGCGGATTCCAACATTCTGCAAAGACGGTGATAAATTATTTTATTGTACAGAGCCATCCAGATCAAAACTAGCAGAGCTTAATATATAGATATAACCGGTGACACACAACATTTAGCACTTGTCTAAGTAATATAATTTACCATAGGCAGACTGTAAAGAGGAACTGTCTGCGTTACCTATTTTAGCAGTCAAACAGCAAGTTGTGTTTCGATATCAAGTTCAATTAAGCAGTGAAATTATAGAATAAAATACTACGCGACGCATGAATGGCATCACGGGTGTTACAGGACAACGTGATGTCGGTATGGATATTCATGTATAAAAAAGACGGTTACCACTTACCATCAGATAGGCTATCTGTTAATTAGCCATTCTAATTACATAAAACAATTGATTTTTAGATATTAATACATAGAAACGACAGCGCTCAATTCGAACAAGAACCTATTTAATTTGTAATTATTAGTCCGTCTTTTTTTGTATTTTATAATCTAAATAAACTAAAAATTACAACTAAGCTAAAGCATAATTTCTTATATGATTACTAGATGACTAACAGACGTAGCTAAATACGTGTACGATTATGTGTAAGCCAATGCAAATAGACACCCTCATAAATGTATATTGCGTTGAGCGAGTATCGAAACCGCAACGTATTAGTCTTTATATTATATTGATATATTAATTAAACAATGAATACAACAATTTAATTAAGCACCTACTTTATCTAATAAAATAAATAAATAAAATTACGTTGTTTGTATTGAATACAGTACCTACAACGTACGATGTCTTTGTATAATACGATGAGAAAATAGGTTGTATCTTAATATCTATACAAATAATAATAATATAACAGACTGATGTTTCCATAATATAGATATTGAAAGGTACTATAAAGCGGCTACAGAGGCCAAAACAACAGTTTTTATATTCGTTTGTCTGTTTGTAGGTTTGTACAAGGATCACGCAAAATCTACTGCATAAAATTAAATGAAGTTTGTGCCAATGTATAAGTAGGAATCGAACCTAAATATAGGCTGCATTTTACTGCAATATCTTATTGCGTGCGAAGCAGGGACGAATCGCTGATAATATACCTAATGTAACTCTGACCTGATTCTACAAGTAATATACGCCGTCCATGCTGATCTCTTGGCGACAGGAAAGAAATGATGGAGCGTTCGAAAGCGGAACGGACAGTAGATGGCACCAAGTCCCGAGTGTATTCAATGTATGATTTTCTATATTTATAATATGCTTGTATCTGTAATATTATAAAACAATAGGTACGGTTATTGTATATTTAAGTACTTGCAAAAATCATAAATTTTATAAACAAAAACAACTAGGTCAGTGCAACGAGGGCATGCAAAATTATATGTGACCAAACTCACCCTAATAACGTAGAATTTGACAACTTAATGATTTAACCAGTCATCACGAAATTTGGCTAATTTCACAGGAGAAAATCAAGTTTTTTTTTATACTAATATATTCTCGTAAATGAACCTATTGTCGACATTAATATAAGGTACACAAAACTTCTATAAATTTTAATTAAGTTATTGGTATTTTCAATTTTAAATTATATATACCTACGTACCAATCATTATCATACCCATAGCTTGGTGTTATAAGGAATAGGGACTACCTCCATAACTCCATATATTGCAATGACTATGTTACTATACAGTTATTATTATTAACTGACCCAAGTTAGTAAAATTAATAACATAAATTAGATTTATAAGTTTTGTATTTCATACCCTTTTAAATGCGCTTTCTGGGTAAAACTTGCAAGGTCTTAGAAATTTCATTAGGAATTCATCATCGTCGATGGGCAGGACAAGTGATGGCTCCCCTGTAATTAAAAAAAATTGTAATTATTTCGTGTATGTTAAAATATATGAAAAATTCGTTATCGTTCATCAAACGTTTTTAATTATTAAATAACTAAGCGAGATTTCATATCTAATTAAATTCTGAAAAATATTGTATATATTTCTGACTGAATAATCTACGTGTTTTCATCATTTAGACACAAATATAACATACCTCTACCTAATATAAAAAATCTTTGTACCTATTTATGTAATATTCATTTGTGACCAACGTTAATATTACATGTTAAACGCATGTTACATCTGTTGGTGCCTCTTGTAGTAAGTAATGCCAGATATTATTTTAATTGAATGTAATGAAAAACTAATAACAGTCTATGTATTATAGTACAAAGGGTACTGCTATATCTAGACTATTATTAGTTTTATATCTGTTAAAGTATAATCCCGACAGTCATAGTAGCTATATTGTTTTCTTTTGACTTCATGACTATAGTGGTTTATTTATTTTTATAATGTATTATATATTGTGGTATTCAAAAAACCAAAAAATGTATACATATAATATAATCTTATTTTAAAACAATATTTACACCTAAGATCTTAATTTGCAATACAAATATTAATTCTGTACATAAAGTCTGATATTTGAGATAAATAAAACGTGTGTGCCTAAATTATGAAATTATTAATCAGCACATTGGGCGAATAGTCAACAACTCGATGACTAGAAACATCAAGTGGACTGACCTTTTTATAGCTCAGCCATAACGTACCATTCAATTGGCTTATGACTTCTGATCATTACGTCAACCATAAACGGTTCAAGTCTGAGTTAAAAAATCTTATGGTCATGCGAACGACTTCTTTTTCCTCAACGATCAGAGTAAGTTCTATTATTATAGTGATAATGACAATAAAATACTGTAATGTAATGCAATTATATAAATTGATTATGATTATTTTTAATTACTGTAGTCTTTGATACTGTACTGTACCGTAGCTCCATTACTAAGATTATAAATGCGATGTGTCAGTTTGTTATTTTTTTAATAAAGAAAAAATAAGGCATTAATGTAGGATGAGAATTTTGACGAGAAGATAGTTGGTATCACAAAGTTTAACATGGTCTTTTGTAAAAAATAAATTGGAAGGGGATGAAATAAGGGATAAAAAGTTGTGGAAAGAAATATTTATTAGTTTGACTACATTGTATGATTATTTTGCCATGGTAATGCCGCTTAGACGTTTGTAAAAAAATCATTGGTGGATGCCAATCAAACATAGAATCTCCACTTTTTTTAAGTCGGTTCAATGCCCTACTTACTTCTACTGTGTTGACAACCTCGGCTCCCTCGGATTCCTCGCATAACATAACTATGTATACTATGTAAGTTTTTATAAAAGAAATGTATTTACGTATGTCTATCAGTTGTCTAGTACCTATAACACTAGCTGGCTTGGGACTTGACGGAGCTGTGTGAGTTACCAAGGTTATTACGGGTTATTATAAATTCGGGCATAATCTCCGGTACTAATGATCCGCTGTTCACTCCTAATTTAAGAGTCCCTTTCTTATTGGTGGAGCTCTTGCCACTTTCCACGATCGTCCAACAATCTCCTTAAATGTTCACAATATGTTGTAAATTTATTGTATTTTTTTATTTATTCATAACCAAAGTAGGTCAAGGAACATTGTATGATTTCGTATGTTTATTTAATAGTTATTTTAATAGCTAAGTCAATCGAAACACAGATACTTAAATAGTTGCAACACGAATAACGTTATTCGTGTTGCAATTGAAACCCATGCGCAATTTCGACAGGAACTGGCTATAGACAATTTTATAAACAAGTACCTCTGAATACCACTGTTTACTGTGATGTATGTTAATTTTTTTAAACATAAACATACCGTTCCGCCCATTACCCCGTATGAGGTAGTCATAAGCATTTTCATTTATCGATGTCATGATTTACGTAACACTTGAACCACACAATACTAGGTATATTTTGAGTTCAACAGGGCAGAGGACGAGCCTACCGTCGTTTTTAGTTTCGTTATCTTTCACCGGAGTGGTAAATCAGAAATATAAAGTGACATACACTTTTGTGTTACAGAGATTTGTAATCAGGAAGATCGTGATTTCAAATCTGGCTACTTCCTCGACTAACACCCAGAAGGTTGACCTTGTGTAGCCCAGTATACTAGACCTTTTTATTAGATATTTACTTGCTTTGAATACATTGTTGTTAGGTATAAATACATAGTGCGAAAAATATTAAGAGTAATTAGTCTCAAACAAAAACATAAAACAATTATGTAATAGTGGTGGTACCTATATAAAAGCGTACAGAGACTTTCATTACCGATGACATTATTTAAATTTATATAATAACAGCGACGTTCACACGACGGTTTATATAACAATATTAGATTGCAATTGAACTATGCCAGTTAAATGAACAAAATTATTAAATTACTTATTTAAAATATCTAAGCGGAAAGTTGCAATATGAGAATGGCGTATCTGATTTCACTAGTCTATGATAATCACCTAGCAATCCCATATTCCGTCAAGGACACGACTGGCGCGTGACCATTGTTTTGATGCGCCATTCTCTTTCTAATTCATATGGTGTATGAAAATATAAACACAAATTTAAAAAAAAGTAGTAAACAAAAAATTTTACTTCTTATTTTCATAAGCAAAAATTATTGTTTGTCTGTTTGTGCGTTAAGGTTTCATGTAAAAACTACTGTATGAATAAGGATGAAATATAAAACACAACTCACCAAAAGAAGAAAGTTGCAAATTTTCTGTTTAATTTTTATTCTTTATTTTAAATACATATCTTTATAATTAATTATGAATAAAATAATAGATAGCGTCTACAAATGTACAACGGACTATACGAATTCTTCGAAAATACTAGTAATTAAAAAAAATATTTGATACATTTATTGGACATAGATTTTGTACAATGCATATTTGTATCACCGATTTTAGCTAGCCGTAAAGCAGTTTATTTGTATTTCAGTTGGAGGGTGAAATTACAGATCGAACACAGAAATTACAGGCAACGCATCAGGCATTGCATCTTAGTCCTTTGGAATGGCGACGCATGAAAGGTATAAGGAACAACATATGATATATGCTCTTCATGTATATAGGAGATGGATGCCATTAACAACCGACTTCTTTTTTATTCTAGTTCCATAAAAAATACATTATTTGTTTTCTATCTATATATATATATATATATATATATATATATATATATATATATATATATATATATATAATAAATAAAAAATATTAACTTCAAGAATAGTTAAGTATTTCTTCAGTTACGTACTTAAAACAAGCACTTACTACTTTTAGTTTACAATCTATTTAAAATCTGTTTGTGTTGTTATTTTATTATGCTATGCAGTTTTACTGTATACTTAACACCAGTTCATTGCGGTCAAAGTCAGCAGTATTGTTGGTCTTCAACAAGGGCGTTCTTTTAAGTACATATTGCATGCATTATGCTATTTCTGATTTATAAAACTACCAAAGTTAAATAAAATCCTTTCGACAAATATTTTTCTGTAAAACAAAATAAATCATGGAAATATAAGCATTTTTGGCTACGATATAATCTAACATAGACAGAAAGAAATTCCTATATATATTTCTTGCTTTTTGTAGTTAGTTGAAAAGACTCATTGCACATTTCTGTCTGCGGATACAGTAAGAACAGAACATGATCATGTGACTTGGTAATCGAGTAGTGAAAGTAAAGATATTTTGACGTAGTGAAAATTAATAACTTTCGTCCAATGTTTGTTATATTATATATACATTTTGCTCTAATGTAAATAGTGAAGTATACATAGATTAGATTCCTATAATTTAAGAATATATTTAGATATACAAGTAGTCGCCCAGTGGTCGAAATTCGACCATAATTAATTTAAATCATAATTTTCAATTATTATGGTCCTATTGTCAAAGACTATACTTCTTTAATAACCGATTTCGCCAGAGCTATACTGCAATCTATACTTAATTTGACCACAAACTTTAACAATAAACAAAAGACGATATGTGAGTGTTTCATGTTCATGGTAGTGTGATTATGTTATTGTTATTGAATAAATGTATTTTCTATCCAAAATATAAAAAAATGTTTTCATCCTGCACTCTTCAAAACACTTGACTTAGGACCTTTCACTAAAGTAGACGTATAGAGTTGTGTGTGTCGGTACATTTATTTCATTTGTTTATTTCTGCCATCAGCTTGCTTTTTAACTACGTTGGTTTTGTGGGACAGCGAAATTAGAGTACGGTTGCTACCGTAGTTCTCAAGGAATAAATATAGAGATGTCCATAGTGTTTTTGTGTATAGAATGTGCCATCAGATGCTTAATTAAAACCAGGCACAATATAAAAGTTTCGTTTGTAATTTACATGTTAAAACTACGATCTAACTCGTCTGATATCGCTGACGGAGAATTGAACGTGACTGATTTTATATTTATGAAAGAATGTTGCATTTAATTCCATGGCATATTTCCTTGGCATTCAATTCTATACAAAGACTAGCACTGCTAGATAATTGACCTGTAGATACTATTCAGCTATTAAGAACACAAGACGTTTCTCTGTTATTGTGCGGCTTTGACCATTTTGACCGACAATTACAGTGCGCAATGTTCGGAACGCTCAGTGTATAATTTCTGCTCTGATTGTTAGTACCTACATTAATAATATATATTATTGTTATGTAATATAAGTAGGTATTTAAGGTTAACTTTAATTCACCCTGTTCCACAATGTGAATGACTGGACACATTTGGGTATTATTACTGTAAAAAAACTTATAATATTTAATAATATTTTGAGATAAATTTTTATCTTTCACCTTTATTTTGTTACATATATATAACATAATATATATGCATAATTAATTAATTTAATATTAATATATTTATATTATATGTATCTGAAAACTATTCTGTACCAAAAAAAACAAGGACGTTACTAAAAACAAATCGCTCACAAATTGAGATGTACCTTTTAGAAAAATATATTTCAATTTCAATAGGTACTTATTTTTAAACCTTCGCGTCTAGTACACGTTATTAATATAGTTAAACAGGTCTTAACATCCAGAGAGGAAAATACCTTTATTTATCTATATTAATACTTAATGCAATTTAAATGCCTAATATTTTTTCAAGAAATAGGATTTTATTTTAAACCTTCAAAAAAGTACTTATGTATGTACTAAACAATTATCTTATTTAGTAATACGCCTGATTCTTAGTCATCTTCAGTTACACATGCATTTAATTTATTACAATGTTTGAACACTAGAGTTCTGTTTAACATTCAACTTCATAGTTAGACAATGAAATAAATAATTAATGAACTTGATGTTGCAGATCAAAGAAATTGTTATGGTAGATACTTAGATTGTTGCATATATAGAAGTGGGAGTTGATACATACTCGTATAAGTTTAGGTATTTCATCCTACTTAAATAATATGTATAATAAGAACTCTAATCAAATTTTACCATTGAATACGATTTTTTTTTATAAGTTTGATATTTAATATTCTTGTGCTTTTTGATGAAAAAATTTAACTAAAGCATTTTTCTCGTTTATTGTTATCCCCATATGGTAAACAATAAATGACCCACGACGGCCGGTTACGGTGGTAGCTATTATATATTGGGTAAAATTAATATCCGTTTCATTATATTTTAAATCGATAGTTATGGCAAATATTTTATTGTTTTAGACTTCATTACATACATATAATTTAACAACTACCACATATATAATTATTTACCTTTTAGAAGTATTCTTAGTTTAGTTAACGATGTTTCTATATTTGCTGGAGTCTCCCGTAGTTCTTTTTCTGCTTTCTCAATGTAACACTTTTCTGTGATCGGATCTTTTTCCAAGTGTATTCTATTGTTACCCCATACTACAAATGGAGTACCACTTGCATCAAACTGGATCTCCATGTTTTTTTCTTTTTATCGACACTTAAATAAGTTCCTCTTCAGTATAATTTCTGTATTGCATTTATTGGTGTTCGCTATACAACGAGATTAGTTGAGAGCAACTTTACTATTTCGTAACGCTAATATACCCTTCACTATTTAATTTCGTAACTTAACACAACTAGAAAAATAATTGATTGAAAAAATAAAAAAATAAATAATTGATTTTGTTTGCTTGCGGATCACTTATTTTCTAGAAAAATGATTTTGTAAGAATCGAACACGTTTTAATTTATAAAGCTCCCAATGTATTCGTTGCGTGTATCGTAATATATTGAAGAGAGGCTAGCGAGATGTCCGCACGGAACTAGCCGAGTATGGCCACTGGTTGGACAGGCCGGTGCCGATGCTTACCATTGACACGGCCTGACTACGGTTTCCCTTCGCCGTGCCTTTGCTTGATTGTCGCCGTTGCGATAATTTTAAAGACCAGTTAAGAAACTTCCGAAACATTAACTGGGTACTCAATAGGTACCTACATATTTGTAATTACAAAATGTCGTGTTAAAAAACGTAAACAGGTATGTAACCTTATGACCAACAGCTATGAGTTAACAAAATTGAATATTTTGGAACGATACGGAAAGAGAAAGTAGATGGTATTGTTCAAAACTTTGTTCACAACCGGTTTTATCAGATTTTTGTCATACCCATTTATTGTAGGTATATATACAAAAACTCCAAATGTATCATAAATCTATTTTAGCTATTGATCTTATCTTGTTTATGTAAAAGAAAAAGGATGAATAGAGAAAATAGGTAATGGAAGGTTTCATATTTACCTATATATATAGTAGATATAGCTAACTTCTTGATGGTATTTTATTTTAAATTGTTATAATTGTATACCTATTTGTTACATTATATAAAAGGAGATTTTCCAATAGCAATGTATATTGGAAAATCTCCTTTTAATTATTTCCATATTTTTCTAAACAGATTCTAAAGAGTTAATCAAAGTAAATCAGATAGGAAATGGGCTAGAAATAATGATACTAAGTTAAAACCGTACTACTGAAACATCAGAAACTAGGAAACATATCGAAGATACAAATCATTAGTGTATTTTTGAACGCCTCATAAATTATAACAGGCAAACTGACAGAGATACGTGATTTATCAATTTGTTTTCTAGGAATTTTAAATCCTTAAAAGGGTAAACGTAATAGTAAGGTAGATCTTACCTATTTCAGCCTCCAAGCAGTTTAATTTGTAAGTTGTCTTTCGGTTAAAGTATGAGATATGGCAGTGAAATTACAGATTAAGGATACAAAACGGACGGAATGACAATGCATGAGGAGAACCAAGGCTATCACATGTTAACGTGTTGTCTGTGGGGCCTTTCATATGTATAACCTACGATTATCAGCTACCAGCATGTAGGTCTACAGATTGTTTGCCATTCGAGTTACAAAAAGGTTAGGATCCTTGTTTCATATTTACAAGGTTTTTTTATAAATACATTATAATGACAGTAAAAATAATGTATTTTCTGATAAAGACTGCCGTCGTTAATTTTGTCGTCAGATATAATCAAGTATTCATTGTTTTTAAACTATAAAACTTTTAGGCAGGTAGGTATGTCAATAAAACACCATTTTTATTAACCAATGACCTTTAATTGTATCATAACCAAATTATTACTTTTCACATTTATTCTAACCATTTGAGCAAATTAAATTATTGTCATCACTATATTTTGAGAATAATATGGAATGCATATAACAATTTGATGAGATTGGACCCTTAAACAACAAACATTAGATATAAACACAATAAGGCACGTTAGAGAGTTTTTTAACTATATATCCTAATATATCAGCTAGGTAGGTATGTATTCCCCAGTCAAAAACTTTTTAAATATACTTAATTAATAACGAACTTAAATCATACGTACTCAGGTATAATTTCGATATAATTTCTATAACATTCAATCGTTATTCCTAAATCAACACATATACACACTAATGCTTAGTACACCTAAAACAATATATAAACTAACGCAACTTGAAAAACTTCAATTTAAATTCGAATTCTGACAGTTGAGATATTGTATGTAGTATGTGCAACAATACCTAGTCTATGCTACAAAAGTAGTGGAAATACCCTGTGATGGTATTAAGTCTATAACCAATGTAGGTTGCATAGATTCAGAAATGTATTTTTAATAGGTAATCGGATATAGAGCTAAGGCACAGTTTTATAACTTATAACGTTCACAGCCTCAACAACTACGGCCAGAGATATCATAATTATGCATGATTACTCACTAACCACACAATAAACTGTCATAAAATGCATGATATTAATTTGACGTGTACTTTTTGGTAAAAAAACTTTTCTTTATTTAGCTCTAAATAAACATCATTCATACAACTGTAAAACATGTATACTTAATTTAATATTAGAATATCCCAAGTTTTAATAGTATCTAAATTAAATATTTACCAATTTTAAATAATCTAGTTGTTTTCGCCTATAAAAAATTCTCGTTTAATGTGTAAAAAACCTTTTATTTATTATTGTAATTTTTTGGTCAAACTTTTTAGACAATGTTAAATTATATATTGCTGACTAACAACAGTGTTTTCTATTCATAAAAAAATATATATTACGTACAAAAAATAATTTCATGATTTATCAATTTAAATATTAAATCATTTTCAGATGCAATATTACAAATAATTATACATGCGGAGATACACTAATTAAAAGATAAATGAAGAAATATTTGTAAAACTCACTAAGTACTAATATTTATATAATTATATATATATAGTTATTGTAAATTGGAATGCTTCAAACAGAATCTTTACGTACATACTAGTTGTAAATTTATAAGAGCCCCCACAAGTTTCCGATAAGAGTCGGACAGGTCGTGTCGATGACGCCGTTCAATTGGTGCATTGGTCAGGTCTTTGGATGCGCGCCAATAGTACAGCACGGTCGGCACGGGCTGTCCGGACTGAACTTAATAATGTGACTCCAGATTAACTGATTGTTTGACCATAGACGATAAAATTAATATAAATATTAATTTTATTATCGTCGCATTTATATTTATTAGAGATATTGATTATTCACGGGTATTTTTTTACTTTCAGGCTCTGCTTTACAATTGATTAATATAATTTTAAACAAACATAATTTATATATTTTTTTTTCTGTTAGTAGGTGACGATGTTATATATTTTAGATGAAAAATGTTGAATATTTAAGAACTAAAGTTATTTTACAGTTACTCATTATCAAAAGTGAAGTATTTAGTAAAAAGAGAAATGTCGTGTCCAAATCATAATATTCCATAGGAATTTTAGTAAAATTTTAATTCAGTTTATTGATGTCATAAACGCCCGATCAGGCTAATCGCGTTAACAAATGCTTTAGTTAGTATATTCGTAAGTATTTTCATACTGCATTTGTAAATTTCATGAGTACTGACAGACTTTATCTTATATCTGGATACACCCCTATAATATTATTATTTGACATGAGATTCCTGTTAAGCTGAATAGTTCATGTAGAGCAAGTAAAATATACCCTTAAATAAATTATATTCTTTTTCATGAAGACCAAATTAATATATCTTTATTTAAAATTTTAAATTATATCCTAATTAAATTGGCATTTATAAACTACAAATATCGACTTCACTTGCTTTTGTTCCTACGTTACTTTTTAATACCATAAGTATTCCAGTTATTTATATGCTGTATGGCGTCGTTGAGGACTGGATACCATTCTGCACCGGAATAGTCGATGGCGGGTAGATCACCACCGTAGTCGGCAGGCAGGTGGCTCGGAGCTAAGTATTTGTGAAGCGACGACATCTTCGAGCCATGGAAGAACATCTGAGGACAGACATAGAAGAAAATCATTCCAACTGCTTTAATATAAAATATAAATATTTATGTTCTTATTGCCAGAATCATATTTCTACTTCTTTTTCCTTCATATCTAAAATAATCTAAATATTATTAGACCAGAACTTAGCCACTTCTATGGTAGAATCGGTCGCCTTGTATCGGTAATTATCTACAGCTTCGCACTGGTGTGCAGTATATGTTATGAGAGTAGTAATGGAATTATATATATACAACACGTAAGTATAATTTTTCGTAAAGGAATTTTCTAATGGTAGTAAAAACTATATCAAAATCTATTGCGCGGTTTAGACGAAGCAAACGTTGAAACATACACACGAAATAAATGACTTTGGCTTCATACTGTTTATAAAAATAAAGTAAATTTGTTTTTAACTTTCTTTTTTATAATTATCTTTTAATGTATTGTACAATAAGTAAAGGGAACTATGATACTACTAGAATAAACTGTAATATTAGAAATGTCAATAAATAAGTTACCAATAAGATACATACTCTGTTTTTTAGTTTCTCCCTGATGAATGGCTTGAATAGAGCCCATACGAGATTGAACACGTAAGGTTGGTTGACAAAGTGCACCTCCTTCAGCCGCATAGGCATCGCGTCTTGTATGAACGTCAGCAGCCTCTTGGAGAAGGACGGAGACATTGCTCGTACCTGTAAATTATATTTGGTTATGAGTAGATTTATTATATTTATTTTTAGTAGATTTCATCATATTGTTATTACTTAAATTTATATATTATATTCTCGATAAGTAGAATAATGGAAGCATTTGCTTTCAGTTATATTTAATATAATTTGACAGTGGCAAATTTTAGAAAATACAAAGAACAAAAATTTTACACAATTAGTTAATAACACATCATAGGTTTCGTTTGTTATTATTGCCACAAACACTTACTTTGATACCAATTAATGCTATTATATAAGGCAATAATATAATACAATTAATGCAATTTTTATTTAGACTAATGCATATCAGATAGTCGTTTAAAATTAAGTATAATATGGTAAAAATATTTCGTGATTATAGATATCTGTTTGTATTGGTCTGTCTATTGTTCGGTTTATAAATGTAAAGGTTATTTATAAAAATATCTAAATAATTAATGTATTAAAACTATCTGTCGATTGTCAATACTCATAAAACATAATTTGGGAGAAAATGGCGCTATGTTTATTTATTTACCACAGAATCTAGGTTTGTTATGTTTCTCTGAAGAACCTATATAGAGATAGATAAATACATTATGTTATTCCAATATAGAAGTTAAAGGATATAAAAATATGCGTCGTAAACTTGTAACGAAATGTAGAACATTGTTTATTAATCATAAATATAAATATCAATGGCTATGTTTATTCTTATATGCAACTATGTATGCATCAATTCATTTATTTATGTCTATGCACCTGTATATTAATTATCACAATTCTACGTTGTAATATAGTTGTCTTGTGCATTATACTTTACAAGTAGTTAATGACATGTTATTGTGCACAAAACAAAACAAAATTTAACAATTATTTTCTTTGAAACATTATGCATTGAATACAGTTGGCACGTGGCCGTGTTTACATTTACAAAATATATAAGTAGGTCTTTGTAATAAACATCTACAGTGGTATAGCATAAAGGTGAAATTAGCATAAAATAATTACAGTAAGAAGAAAATTCGGCTACAATCGGATTATTCGCGTAATTTAGATATATGTACTTAGATTGGTTTAATTTAAAAATACACCTATACAGGATTTATCTGATAGGTATAACTGAAATATATAATACATATAATATAAATTTGACCTAATTTACCAAAGAAATGATAATAAATTATACTACTTGAATCTTTTCGTCTATAAATAGATCAGCTGGTTTGTATGAAAGTTTTAAATAAAATAAACATAATAAATAAAAGCATCATACATGAATTAACTTTCTTACAATATTAGATCGGTTTCATACTAACATTACAAGGCTTAGGATTGATGATATTTTATTGCAACTAGAAAAAATAGTAATATTATAATTTCTAACTAGCCAGTTTTACAGTATTAGCAGATGTGTTTTTAAGTATAAATTTAATACCTATAATAATAGTATAAATATAATAATAGTAAATTACCGATTTTTTAAATTCATTCTAAGATAACAGAATATAAGATCCGTAATTTTTTAGTCATTTTAAGAAAATAAAATAAGAATTTATTGATTATAAAATATTTAAAAACCATCCTTCGTAACAAGTTCCATTGGCAAATTACCAAGTTATTGTATTTATATAAGTAGCAATGGCTTATTACTAATTTTCTACTGAAGTTTATTTTTTTCTTACTAGCTAAATAACCAAATTTATACTGAAGAAATAGCAACTATGATACTTGAATATATGTAATTTCAGAACGTAGTTCATGTACGTTACTCTAGTTTTTGTTTTTATGCAGTATTGGCAAACATTATTACAACAGATATACACTCACTATTCTAAACTCCCACGCTTTAACGTGACGTCACGGGCCCTTTCACATAGTATATTGTTAGCAAATTGGAATGGAATGAAGTAAATAGTTTATTCAGTTCTTTTTTATTGCATTCTGGCAGTTGGAAACAGCATGATAATTAATGTCATTTTAAACGAACAATAAGAAAATAAAAAATTATAACTTTTTGTAACTATATATGGTACATAAACTGATGTCCTTTAATAAAGAAATTAAGAACCATACCCTATAGAGTTGATAACGTCTAGCTCAGTAAACATTTTCTACTCGGCTAATACTATTAATATTACCTAATATAATAATATGTATAATCATTTATGACGACCTCGGTGGTCTAGCGGTCTAGCACACCGCTTTACGTCCGATGGTCGCGGGTTCGATTCCTCGCACGGCACAAACATTTGTATTCATGAGTATGATTGTTTGTATCGGTCTGGGTGTTATCTATGTATAATATGTATGTGTTTACGAAAAACAAAAAATCTATGTATTTGTATCAGTTGTCTAGTACACATAACACAAGCTTTAGCTGGCTTAACTTGAGTTTAGATGGCGATGTGTGAATTGTCCTGAGACTATTACTACTATTACTATTATTATTTATCGTATATGACTGTACATTATATAAACATTTGAGACGTAATGATACAGTACAGAGTGACCTAGTTGTGGCGGCCACTTGACCACAGAGATCAAAAGAAGACATGCAAATCGGTTGACGAGTGGAATGACATATAGGCCCAACACTCGTAACATAGCTTGTATGTTCAATGACCGTGAATATTCTATATCCTTATGAGGTACAAAGGAAAATACACTTCCTTTCACAACAAAGGACGGACGTTTTGTTAAAATATTGATTCACAAATTTACAATCTAAAAGATTACTTTAAAGGATTAGGTAAATAAAAATAGAAGGTTTAATACTATGTTTGGTGCATGGTAAACTTTGAAGAATTAACGTCATAGCCTTGCTGTTTGTTATTTTTGACTGCGTCTCTTCACTTAAAGAATAAGTTTGCCCATCATCTGATAACATAATCTGTAAGCCTTAGCACAGAATACCTAAAATTTAAAAATATTTTGGAACAGTTTAAATACTAATTCAATCGCATTACCGTTCAGAACTTAGACGTTTTTTATATTTCGACCTTCACTCCGTAAAGTTATTACCTTATCGTAAACACGCACGCGAAACCATAATGAAAACATAGTTTAAAATTCAAGCCCACACTAAATATATTACTTATAATTAGTGACATCATTTTATTAAGTATATATGTAAAAAAAATAGACAAGACACAATTTAAAAACTAATAAAAAATCTAGTAATCTGTTACTACCAGAACAGAACATAACAGTTAGTATCAGAGCTCAACAAACACTCCCTATAGATTTATTATTCTTCTATTGCCATGTCTAAGAATACGTATGTACTATACGAAATAATTAATTGTGTACATTTAAAACAACAACCTTTAAAATTACTGATTTACACGCAGCTCAACCGACACAAAATCGACTGCAAATCTTAATAATATGAAGAGATATATTGTGATTGTATGTGTATGACAGTAATCTATGAAACTACATGTTCACTTTCTTTTAATTTCTGAAATGTGATTTATTGCAGTTGAACATTTGTTCTTCAACAATAATTATAAGTTATAAATATAAATAATATTCTACCAGGCCGAAGTTGATTACTGTTCCAGTTCCCTTCATTATGTATAATTATGATCCAAATCTGACAAAACTAGGCATCTTTAAAATACACAAGCAATCTAGCCTCGGACGTGACGCCCCTTGAACTAAACACCTCCAGCATTTTCCTTTAATTTCGATGCATAATCCTTGTAGCCTATCGAATATATTCATTGATGTTAGCAGGATATGAACCAATCACAGGAAATTATGTGAATCGCGATAATTGCAATTACTACGTAGTGTTCAAACATGTGAGTATTAAATATTAATATGTTACAATATGAATACCTATGTAGATGTCAGATTTTTGTAATCATAATTTCTCTCCTATCCTTTTATCCTTTATTGGCGGCCCGCTAGCGTATCCCAGATTAGGTAGTGTTATACCGATTTCATCATTATCCATAGAAAACCTCGGCAAATCACGCAAAAGTCTTGCACCATTTTACAATTGAATACAAATCTGCAGTATTATTTACATAACTCGCTCAAGAGTTTACACAAAGAACAAGGTAATCAATACACTTACCTGAACAGTAAAATAAATCGTTTTAAGCGTAACTAAATACACCTACGAGTATATATTTATTTAATAACTATGAATCAAGTAAAGACACAATAAATACTTGCTTGAGTGTAACATATTTAGATAATTTCCTTTAAAAGTAATGTGCTGGAAAAAGTATAGGAAAACAATTATATTGCATTAGGCAACTAAATTCTTAGTGTCAGCATAATTGGAAGTGATATAATCACATAAAACCTATTGTGTTATCTGTAGTGACAGTTTACTGAATAATTTATTATCTGTGTAAAAATAAAAACGGTAATATCTAATTCAAAGATACATATATCCACAGTACTCATAAAAATATTTTAATTTATAGCTTTGTAATCAATTTTTTTTATAAACTCTGTTCGTGTGTAATACACGTAAGCAAATCCTGTTACACAAATGTATATATTTATCTTTAATCTAACATTGGGTTTTTTATGAAATTATCACTATATTGTTATATTTTAGAATATGAGTGACTAATTACGATTTCGTAACCACTCGTGAACACAGATAAAGAACACAATGGAAGTAACGAAGGAATAACGGACATTGCTCTTTCAATTTCTTTGTTGTTGTGTATACAGTTGGACATACAATGTTCCGATATTTAATGCACTTTGTACGGTACAATGTGTAGGCAAGGAACTATAATACTTTGTTCAAGATCCCATATAGTGATTCAGCGCTCACAAGTGCACTTTAATATTTTACACTCTTAGGTACATATAATTCATCAATGTGGTATTTTTAGACAACTACATTGTAGGGCCTTCGTTAATTTTGTTTGACCTAATTTGCAAACAATGTTATTGTTTTTACCCAAAACAATATTACGATTAATTCATAACAGTTTCATCAATTTTAACAAAAACAAAACAGATCTTCATCAATTTTATAAAACGCGACTTTGCAGTGTTTTACAGCAGTATTCAGTATTAAAAAAATATTGAGATATTAAAATATTATATATAAATGGTTTATATTTAGTTTAGTTTTAAAAGGAAGATCAATCTAAACTCAATATTATTCATATTCATTATACTGAACAATTTTATTGAAACCTAAGAAATAATAAATGAGAGTAGGTACATTTATAATAATAATCATTGTAAGATGATACATTAACAATAGAAATAGAATTAATAACGTAATTTATATGTTTAAATATTTAATTAAAATAATGTGTATATTAAAAATGGCTTAACCAATCTCAGTGCGGTTTTACTAATTTATTGCCTAAAATATTGCTCTTTATTTATTTAATTGAAACTAATTGAAATACGATTTCTGAAACATTAAAGACTTTACTGGACTTGAAAGAAAATACAGTAACCCGTATTTATTTCAAGTCCAGCAGATAATTATTATGTAAGTAGGACTTATTTGACTAATAGTAAAGTATTATCACAATATTACTGTGCATTATCATATTGTATAAAAAGACGGAATTTATTTAAATCTCCTTCAATAATTATACCGTATTCATATCATTCTAACTAATCTAGAAATATAAAAATGGTTAAGGATATAGATATAGGTACTATAATCTCTATGGTTATAAATATATGAGCCAATGTTGTTAACAATTACAGTTGCATGATCAAATAAATATCATTTTGTTAAAAAATTATAATAAGACATTTATTCTCAAAACCTTAACAGAAACATTGGCCTAGATTGCTGTAACTTCCTCAAAACGTAGAACAGCTGGCCTGGCCATTGAATCGTGTACCAATACCTATAAACCATACAGTGTAACAATAGTTTAGCAGCCACGGGGGTCAATGACGCGAGCAACCAAGTATCTTCAATATCTTTGTGGTTGTAGATTTATTAAAACTAGGTCGATGGTTTAACAATTAGATCTTGCTAAACAATGTAATATTGAATTGAGCTCGCGTACCTAGTTTATTTGTATATATATCTGTTTAGCGACTTAGTCTTGTAACAACTTAACAAGAAAAACTTTAAATCTAAATTATCATCTGAATTTTTATGTTACATGGAGATTGCTACAAAAACAGTGAAACAGTATTTAAATCAATCAAAGACATTTTTTTTATTTGGTACCATAAGTAAATATAATGTTTAAGGTTTTTTATATTTAATATGTGTATACATATACCTACATATTAAATGTTTTTTTAATATTTAATGTCTACACGTACGACGTTAAATAAATGGGCATCGTCACTTCTAAAATGTGCATGTACGCACCTGTGCCATGCCCATGTCCTTGTAGTCCATCAACACGACGCAACCTCGAACTTGAGACTCCGGTTCCAACAGAGACGCCACGTGGATGAGATAGAATAACCGGAACAATTGATCAGCACTCACTTTCTTCGGATCCCAGGTACCTGCGCATATTATATTAAAAATGTCTATTGTTTTTTGTATATTGTTGACGGCATCTGCTAATTAGTATCTACTATTTTCATCCATAATAACCAATAATATTTTTTTTATTTCATTATTGTTATTACTATTACTATTAAAATAAAATATAATATTAATATACGAAATATTCCCACATACCCCAGCATCTCCCTCAGCGGAGAAATGTTTGATGGAAGATTTTTCCACAGTCAATTATATAAATAATACTAGCTGTCCCGGCAAACGTTGTTTTGACATATACATTAATAACTCTATAAAAAAATAGATATGCTAAATGGATTGCTGATAGAAGGGTGAAAATTTAGGATTGTATCTATCTATGTAATTTTTAATGACAAATAATAAAAAAAATAAAATAAAAAATTTTGCCCAAAAAATAAAAAAATAATGTAAGGGGTCGACAACCCTTATCACTTAGAGGTATGAAAAATAGATAGTAGCCGATTCTTAGACCTACTGAATATGCATATAAAATTTCACAAAATTGGTCAAACCGTTTGGGAGGAGTATGGTAACTAATATTGTGACACGAGAATTTTATACATAAGATTAAGTAAATAATATAAAATTACCAAAGCAGCGTAAAACAATATATTATTTAAAATTTCTTTTTGAAGGATCACATGACGTAATTAACGATTTTGTTAATCATTCAGTTCAACTCTTATTTTTTATGGGATCAAGGTTACGGATTCATTATCTGACATTCTGAGAATGTGCACTATTCTCAGAATGTCATATAATGAATTCGTACTTTGTTATTGTGTTATTCCCTATAGAATTTAAGAGGGTGAATAAAATCCAATATTTTGAATAATATATATATAATATGAATTGAAAATACATATATAATGAATAATTATTATAAACAATGTTTTCCGGATCAGTTAGTAGCTGTATATTATTAAAAACTAACCTCCAACATTAACTATCAGGACTCTCCTTCCTTTATGGTCACGACCCTTCATAACGTTGGCCATCTTATATCGCAGGAAGGCTTCCTCTTCATGTTCAGGTATTAAACCGTCGAGTAAATTTGCATTATCGCGCCTGAATTCAGCTATGCGACGCATCTGGGAAAACATAAATAGTATTTGTATCATTGCAAACAATCAGTTGTTTGATGTGTTAAGTCTCATGGCGACAGACCACAATGACTAAGTTCCTGTGTTGTAATCATTTTTATGACTATGTATAAATAAAAAAGTAAATAATAGCTATTATTGATAAGTATTCATAATATTTTTTCCATATATTATTCCTTAAATCCTCTTTTCTTATAGACTGCATATAAATATTACGATTTGTTGAATTTGTCATGTGGCCCTTTTTGTCACACATTTTGTCTATATGTTGTACCACCTCGGTGGTCTAGTGGTATAGCATACCGCCTTACTTCCGATGGTCGCGGGTTCGATTCCTCGCACGGCACAAACATTTGTATTTCTGAGTACGATTGTTTGTATCGGTCTGGGTATTTTCTATGTATAATATGTATGTATTTACAAAAAAAAAATGTATATATACATTTGTATCAGTTGTCTAGTACCCATAACACAAGCTTTAGCTGGTTTAACTTGGATCTAGATGGCGATGTGTGAATTGTCGTGAGACAAAAAAAAATGTTGCTACTTCGTCAATATTTGCTTTGTTTGTTTTTATGAATTAAACAATATTAAGGTATATTATATTTTCTATCTGTATGTTTAATTGAATCTGTCCAGTAAATCTTGTATTAAAGAGTAAAAAACCATTCATATTTCTCACGTAATATACACGGATTTCAATATCAAGGAAACATTTCTGTTAAGTAGGTACTGACTTGACAATATTGTTTGCTAATGGATTCTCAGGTGAATAAAAATTTATTGACAAAATTAATGTGCAAGTTAGAAATATTTCTAATTACGAAAGCGAGGTACGTAGCTATTATTATTTACATATTGTAGGCTAAAATTAGCTTAGTTTACATGTATAATATATAATATGATCCAAGTTTTCCCTTGAAGGTAATCCAGTTTGAAGTAAGAAAGATATAATTACATAGCTGATCAACAAGACATGCCACACCTTAAGTTGCTTGAACCAAGTTACGGTACATCTAGTATAGGTTTACAAGGACAGTACTACCATTTAGCCCTTATAACAAAATAATAAAGTTTATATCTAGTTATTACCTACCTATACCTATTACCTATTACCACTAACTGTACATATGCTATTTTTTCCTATCGAATAATATATGCTTGTAATTAAAAAATAGTATGGACCCGACAACAAAAAATTATAGTAAAGGACATTTATAACAATCATTATTAGTTTTAGATTTTTTTTATTTAAAGCATACCATTATAGTCACATAAATATTGATGGTATAGTGTCAAATACTGCCACCGCTTGTTATCGTAATAACAGTAGAGTACTTACAACAGTTTATAATATTATCTTACAAACAATGGATCCATTTCCTCTTTGTTCTGATAATATGTATTGTACTTATTACTAATACATCATTTAATCTACAATTTCGATAATATTGAGTCGGTATTGAAAACCGTCTGAGGTAGAGATTTTTTTATTTAGCTATGTAATAAACTGGACAGACGTGCATGATTATTTGCATTTAATAGTGTTCACTTGACTTGCCAAGCTGTTTACTTGACAAATTGGCATAAATAACATTTATAGATCATAATAATAAAATAGAAAGTATTTTTTTTTCTCTTTATTTTTTTTTTTGGGATTTTTGTGCACATAATGTGACGATGACAATCCCATCGTACCTATACTAAATAACAAAAATAAACTAAAAAACTTAATCTAATATGATACCATCCAGAACAATAACTTGGCTGCATCGGAAGCTGGTTCTGCCAATATTTCATGAAATACTCCTACGTCTAACCTATTTAACATTAAAGCTTGGATGGTATATTCTCTTTTATATGCGTTACGAACACATTCCATTAAAATATGATGCAGATCTTCTTCTTTTCCACAAGCTTCACAATTAGGGGATATCACTTTTTTCATTAAATAAGCAAATTTATTTAATGGAATGTGTCCGGAACGCAGTCTATTCGCAATAACAATGTGCTGCCTATTAATCTTTGTGAGTGCGAACCATGGAATACGAGGAGGCTGGCACTGTATCGTTTTATACCATATTCCCTTTGACTTAGATCTTTCATCAAAATATTCTTTCCAGCTTTTATAGCACTTTTTTTTATACTTGCTTAGTATCTCTGAATAGTCTGGTAACACATCAATAATTACTCCTTCAGAGCAGGCTTTTTTGGCCAAAGTATCAGCCTTCTCGTTTCCCTGTAGACCTACATGAGCTGGGAGCCACTGCAATGCCAATGTCACATTTTTAACCCTAAAATTATTAATTTTATCTAAAATTTTGTATGCTGTTGATATTCCTCTATATCCGGAAGCGCATTTTAAAATATGGAATAGGGCACTTTTGCTATCCGTACATATGACAATATTACTTACATTTAAACAGTTCAGACAATATGAACGTGCCATTGAAATTGCAATGAGTTCCGCCGTCATAATCGAAATATTGTTTTTTATTTTATACATTTCGTATGTGTTTCTATCAGGATCGTAATAGGCAGCACCAAGACCGTTGGTAGATTTTGATCCATCAGTAAAAATATATTGCCAATCATCGTATTTCGTATTTAGTTCTTTCAATACCTCATATTTTAATTGATTAATTTCATAGTCAGCTTTTGAACTTTTTATACTATCTACCTCAGTTTTAATTATATTTTTAATATTAAAATTTGTAACCCATGTACTCAGAGTAAACATTTCCAGAGGATCAGATGTCGATATATTCTCTTGTATGGTTTCATTTGAGCAGATTGTCAAAAGAGGTTTTCTCTTTCTATTCCAATATCTATTGTCACATAGTTTACTGAGATTTGAAATTAGTGCAGCCGTTACTTTTGTGGTCCATGACTGAGATTTTAAACAGAATTTATATGCAAGGAACTGTCTTCTGATAAACAAAGGTGGAATACCCAGTTCACATTCCATGACATGTGTTGGTGTGGTTTTAATAAAGCCGCCTATAATCCTTAATGCTTGATTTTGAACAACATCTAATTTGGTCGTATGGCATTTAGCAGCTTTGTCATAGAGTGGGCTCGCATAATCAAACCTACTCCTAATTAATGCTATGTATAGTCGTCGTAGATGTACAGGATGCATTCCCCATCCAGATCCCACTAGAACTTTAAGTAAAGTTAAAAATTTTTGTCCCTTTTCCCGGATTTCTTTAATATGCTTTCCCCATCGTAATGACTTATCTAACCATAGACCTAGATATTTAACATTTTGCGCATCCTTTAATGTTTGGTCATTGACAAGAAGTTCTAAAGTTTGTTTCTTATTGCCTCGACTAAAATAGCAGACCTTTGATTTGATAGCTGACAATTCGAGTCCCAATTCACCTAGTATATTGGCCAATATATCCAAGCAGCTCTGGATGTTTCTTATGCTATCTAAAAAATTATATGCTGTTGCATATAGTACAAAGTCATCTGCATATTGACAGATATAAATTTGTTCCATTCTCTTACAAATTTCTATGGTAGCTATATTAAATAATAAGGGGGATAAAGGGTCTCCTTGAGGGATCCCTTTACTAGTCCATCGTATATGCATTTTACCTTCATCTTCGTCGCTTCTAATCATAAGGTGCCTTTCTTTTAATATTTCCCAGATGTAAGTACACATTTTACGCCCTACTGACAATTCGTCTAGTATATGTACTATTTTTTCTATTAAAATGTTATTATATGCTCCTTCTATATCCAAGAAACAGGCTATTGTTGGTACATTCATAGAGAATCCAATTTGTATCTGAGTAATCAATCTGGTGAGACAATCCAAACATGATTGAGCTTTTCTAAATCCGGTAGTATTTACAGATATAATTTTGTTTTTCTCCACGAACCATTCGAGACGTTTTACAATCATTAGATGGAAAGTTTTACACAGGCAAGACACTAGAGTGATTGGTCTTAGCTGTTCTTTAGTCGCTTCATTGGATTTTGGAATTGGTATAATGAGCACGTCTCTCCATTGTGAAGGGACGGATCCTGATCGATAAATATGATTATATATTTTTAGTAAATGTGTCTTAGCTACATCAGGTAGGTTGTAAATCATAGAATATGAGACTTGATCGGTACCTGGAGCCGTATCTTTACTCTTTAAACAATTGAATAATTCTGCAGTTGTAAAGTCAGCGTCGAGATTAGAATTAAAGCCGTTTAATACTGGTGGCGGGGGTGATACCGAATCAGGAGCTAATGTAGCTAGTAGTTTTAACTTTGCTTGTTCTGAGGAGTATGCCTTCTTTTGTTTTAAACCCTTCATCCACCTCATTTTTCGCCACATATCTGCGACTGACGTGGTATCCTGTAAACTATTGCAAAATTTTTGCCAATGCAGTGATTTTGCTCGTCTTATAAGTCGTTGCGCTTCTGAAACTTTCTGTTGCCATATAGATAGGTTTCTAGGTGTAGAATTCCGTCTTAATTGTTTCAGTGCCAATCTGCGTTCAGCTATTGCTTTAGATATTTCTGGGTTCCAGTATGATTTTGGTTCAAATTTATTTGTGGGGTCCATGCTATATTTTTTTATAGGTATCGATTTGTCAGCAGCCTCGTTGATTGCTTTTAGTAGAATATCATACATATTTTGTACATTCATACATACGTCTATATAAAACTAACGTGTTATTTATTACATCTTTATATTTTACCCAATCAGCGCATTTAAAATTTCGTTTATTAATTATATTTGTTTTGTCTCTATACTTAAAGTTAATTTTAATAATCAAATGATCGCTTCCTAGGCCTTCATTAGTCACTTTCCAGTTTGAATTTATTGCGATATCTGTAGTACAGAAAGTTATATCGGGAGCTGTTTGCTGAAGGGAGCCATTAACTACTTTTACTCGTGTAGGGTTGCCGTCATTAATTGAAATATATCCATTATCAAGGGAGCTATCGAATAATTGTGTACCTCTTGTATCAGTTTTACATGA